CGCACGCGAAGAGTGGTTTGCCGGCCGCGAGGAGCGGAGGCGGGCTCGGGAGCTGGAAGAACAGAAGACGGCAGAGAGGCGGCGAGAGGTCATACAGATGATGAGGGAGGATGAGGAGAGACGGAGAAAAGCGGAGGCAGAGAGGGTGAAGAAAGGGTGGCTAGGTTAGGGTGGGGGTTATATTCATATTTATGCCTGTGTGTATGTATAAATATTTTCGGATTTTTTTTCTTCTTCTTCGCTTTTCGGGGCCACGCCGCTTATCTTTATGGGTGCATTATTTGGCGTTGGTGGGAGAGCTTTGTTTTGATTCGATTCCTCTTTCCTTTCTTTTTGGCTTTTCTTTTCTTTGAGGAATGTTGGGATAAGTGGGAGAGTAGCTTCTTTTTCTCCATTTTCTCCCCATCTCTGCTTTGAAAACCTCTTTGTATAAATACAGCTTGGTATAAATGGCGTTTAGATCTCCGCTAAACAGAACAGGACGTTCCGGCCCTAAATAATATATTCTCCAGCTCATTTTGTTTCTCGCCCGTACCGAGACGCCCATCCGGATGACAGCTTGCGTGTGGAGCAACTGAAAATCAAACGCCCATCCCAAACAGTGACAAACAAATACGCGCATGATCATGGAAAGAAAAAGATGAAAACAGAGCAACGCGCAAAACCATAGCAAGCAGAGACGGAGATGAGGCAAGCGAGCAAAACCTGGTAAAATATATCAAACCCCAAACCCATCAGCCACTGATGTTTCAGTAAAGCTGGGGGTATCAAACATCCGTCATGGTCTTATCTTCATCTCGCCCCTCCCCATCTAACCTGTCATCACCAAATATGTCCTCCATCGTCCCATCCCCATCCCCATCATCATCATCCTCCCCATCTCCTCCTCCCTCCTTCGCAAACGACCCCTGGCCCGACCCAGCAACCTGCTGCCCATTATTATCATTGCCATCAACATCCATCTCCATCCCCTTCTCCCCGTCCTCATCATCCCCTTCGCTCTCCCACTCCTCCTTCAACCCCCACCCAACCCCCGTCAAACAAAACCGCTCAGGCGGCAACCTCATCCCACCCATCATAACACCGCCAGCCGACGCTGCCGCCGCACTAGCCGCCGCCCCACCGTCAACCCCGCGCATAACACCAGGCAGCATCATCCGATTCCTCTCCGCCGCAACATCCATGAGAAACTCCTTCGGCAAACCGCGCTGAAACTGATAATGCAGACGCGACGCAATGCTCATCCGTAGTGCTCCCAGGCTGACGGAGCTCAGATCTAAATTTCCAGGCTGCTGGGACCCTGCTCCTCCTCCTCCGCCAGGCACCTTTCCATCCCCGCCCCCTTTAGACGTACCACCGCCGCCGCCAGACTCCCCCGGATATCCCTCCGTAGCGAGGTAGACAGCATCCTGCAGCGTGCTGGATGTGTATCGGTAAGCGAAGTCGAGAAGTTGGAGAGGGACGCGTTCTTGGTAGGCGGTTACGCCGAGGGAGGCGAGGAGCATGTGAATGAGGCGGGCATCGCGCGGGCGGCGGGATTTGCCTGTGTCTTGTAGCGAGGTTGCTGGGAGGAGGGTTGGGTTGGCTGGGTTCGTTGGGGTAGAGGTGGAGGTGTTGGCGGCGGCGGCGGTCGGCGGTAGGTTGTTTGCTTGGGAGGGATTGTTCGCGGCAGAGGGCGCATCGGCGGGCGGAGTGAGGGGCTGTGTAGATGAGGCAGATGCGCCTGGGTTTGGCCGTGGCGAGGTCATGATATGATATAATTATTGGGCTCAGGCGCAATTGCGCAGCTCGTTTGATGTCGTGAGTGTTGGCCGCTGTTTCGGGGGGAGGTAGGCCCCCGCGCGGATGGTTAGGAGGTGGAGATTGGAGGGTGATCGTGGTACATATGCTTTTGGTTGTATGGCGCCCGTAGAGTAATGTAGTCCTTCAATTCAAGCAATTGCGCAGGAGCTGGGGCGCCAGATACAGGAAATTCCATTGATATACAGAAGAGAAGCTCTCTGGCTGAGAATGGATTAAGTAAGCACGAATTATAACTAGCCTAACTACATTAGGCTAGTGTCATCAGGAGCTGCCTTAACAAACTATTTAAATCGCCAAAAGAGATACCAAACACTGGACAAGAAGAGTCAGTCAGCAGCAGCTTGCTTTAGCAGAGAATGCTCTGGTCTTTTCGGAGCGCCAAATTTGGGCCTGTATCTAGAAGGTTGGTACTGTGTACATGCTGGTATAAAAAGCTCAAGACTGCGGAAATACATGGCAAAAAAGCAATGCGAACAAGCAAAATCAAATCGAAGAAAAAACTCCCGCTAATTCAGCTAATTCAAAATGCGCACGGTGCATCAGTTAGATAAAAAAAATTTTCTCCACGATGATGATAAACTCCTAGCTGAACAAATCAGGAAATGTGCATCTGGTAGTACTTTTTCCGCCTTGTTTTCATAGACGATACCCATACCCCATCATGCATGTAACACCTCCGCGTGCCGTCTCCCACCACTAATTGATAAATTAGCAAGCCTAACTCCCCCTCCCGTGTCCGGATCCCCATCCTCGTCAGCGTCCTCGTCCTCGTCCGAATTCAGTTCGAAGTGATCCTTGTTTTCAACGTCGGAGCCGCCATCTTCATTCTCCAAATCTGACGCCTCAGCCTGATCTTCAGACGCAAATCCCTCCAACATCGAATCTGCCAAATCTTCCCCGCCATCTCCAGGATGTTGGTGATCCATCGAGATGTAGCTAACGCCCATATATTCAATGTCGTACACTTCACTTTCACCGTCCCCCTCTTCACTACCCTCATCCACTTCCTCGTCTTCACCACCACTGACACTGGTATCCGTGGCAGAGAAATTCTCCAGGTCCCTAGGCACTTCCCGCCAGTAGGTGAAATCAGTGAAATCTTCCCCGCCTTCTTGCACAAGCATACTGACAGGTGGGAAGAAATGGTCCACAAGTTCACGCATGGTCACGTAGCTGCTCTTATACTTATTCAAGCTCAGCAGGTCCAGTGAAACTTCCGCGTTGGAGTTGATTGTAAATATCCTCGACGAAGGGATATTCACTGATCGATAACTGAGAGCGTCAGTGAGTCGATTTCCGAAACCGGCGTAGAAGGGGTTTTTCCGTCCCTGGAACAAATTCAGGATATCGCGTAGGCAAGCCATTTTAAACACTTCCGGCTTTCGTAGGTATATCTCACGCCGTAGAGCGGCTATTGTTCTATCGGGACTCATTATAACGGGGCCTTTGGGGAGTTTATAGCCTTCCTGGACAATGCCGCTGAGATATGTTCGGGTCGTATCCGCTTGGCCAGTAGATCTGCTAGTCAGGTACATCAAGTTGTATCCATTGCTAACTATATCAGTGTACAGCTTGGCGACCCCAAGATGAGTCCAATCGCGGCCGATCATGTTAAGCACATGCCCAAGGGCATCAGACCTAGATTACTGTGTAAGAACCTCGCCTGAACCTCCAAAAATAGAAAGCATATAAAATAACGGGAGCACCATACTTTGTAATTGTCCCATCGATATCAGATATCACTATGGGGACTTTATAATTCCACAAGTACATCGCCGCAGGACATGTAGCCTTGTTGACACTGAAAGTCATTTCATTGGCGCCGGGTTTCAGATTCAGCGCCTTCAGTTGTTCACTTGTTAGTCTGAGGGTCTTGGCGTAATTGCGACTTGGTTCCACCGTCTCCCCATCGACAAGTGTTTGGAGTCGGGTTGGATATCCTTGGAGAACGGACTGAGAACGATGGTGTCTCTGAGTCGCTTGAGTTTCATTGCCACTCTGTTCACTCTCGCTATGGTAGCCAGGGTCAGAAACCGCGTCGTCCATCGTCCTAGAAGGGTGCATAGACGCTCTGCGGTTTGCTGCCTCCTTAGACTCCTCGCTGCTATAGATCCATAAGTTTCCTCGCTCGTCAACACCAATCAATGCTCCGATATCATAATTGCCTTCGAGCTCCTCTGCAAGGATTTTTCGGGCGATCACTTCAGCGCGCAGGGCATCCTCGTCACTGCTCTTATATCCTGTCATGTCCAACATTAAATCACCAGTCTCTGTTACATGTGACGGAATGTTAGATATAGATAGCTTCCTTGACAGCGCCATTGCTCGCGAGAGGGCTTCTTCAGGGCTTATGTTGGGAGGGCTACGCGATCGTTCTGACAAAGGACTCCTACTATCCGGAGGCGAAGGGGGTGCAAGAGCGTTCTTGGCGCCAAATTCCACTGGTGACCCAAGGCTCCTCGAAGTCGGTTCGGTGGACAAATCCTCGGATCTAGGTCGGTCTAGGGTTGCGGCCGGTGCTAGCCACGGTGCAGTGCGCTCCGGACGAGAAGTTCCATTCTCTGAAGACCTCGAAAGTGGCGTCGTGACCCCTAGAAGGCAAAGTGTTTAGCATAAGAGGCAAGCGCGGTGGTTGAATGGTAAAGACAAACCCATATCACTCTTTGCTCTCTCAGTCCCGGGGATATTTAAAGGGAGGAGGGTGCTGATCCCGTCATGTGCTTCCGCATTATTTTGTTTATCAAAGGCAAGGTCCAGATAGTCGGGTTCTTGGAGAGGGGCGCCATTATCACTTAGTTCACGCTTGGGGCTTGCGACTGGGGAAACTAAAGGCGAGGTCTGTAAAGACTCGGGGACATTTTCCGAAGTCTCAAAAACAAAAAAAGCTTCTCCTCCCTCCCCAAGCTTCATGGCATAATCTTGCTTGACTCCATTTACTCGAAATTCTACTTTTTTCTCGTAAGGGCGAAGTAGCGAAAATTTACCGAATCGAACATGAAACGGGGAACAGGCGAGGGTGCCTAGGAAACGATGCGAAGAGTAGAATTTTAGTAGAAGCAAATGGTTTCAGGTGATATCGGATAGCATCAGCTCACCATCCTCCTGTTCGATCACGATCACATCGATGGCCCCGCTGAGGGTAGCTGGATTGATGGAGTTCCATGTCTTGGAAACAGAGCCGCTAATACTGCGCACGTACTGCATGCCCGGATCGCGAGATGGAAAACTAAAATTACAATTTCCAGCTTAATTACAGCTAAAGCACATTCAGTCAGAGCCAATTTTCAAGGGCTGGAAGACTAGGTGTTGTTGAAGCAAAATGAAACGAGCGTGGTCGATGCTGTTCCTCAAAGCCGCTGTCGGATGGCCATGTGATGAAGCAACGCAAAAAGAGTGGAGGACTGTGGTGGTGGTGATGGTAGTGAAAGGGGTATTAAGAATAGTTTATATGATATAATACAAATTTACGAGAAGAGGATGAGGGAGTTTGAGAGAGTATGTGGGGGGGGGGGCGAGGAGAAGAGGAAGAGGTGAAGTGGTGAAGTCGTTGAGGCTGTTGAAGCTGCAACAAGGTTTAGCTCCGGCGGCAATCCGGCTGCCAAGCAACGGCGACCCGCAATTGGCCAGCCGCTGGCCGGCAGCATGTGATTCTGTTCATACATACAGCGTAGTCCGTAGTAGACATATAAAAATGTTCTTGCAGCTCATCCCTTCAAATGTGCTCAAGGCCCTGCCGGTGAGACTTATTTTATGAGTCAGCTGCTGCAGCATACGGGAGTGAATAACTGTTTATTATGGTGGTTTTTTTCTTCATGTACCACAGAACTACTCCGTATGCTATCCTCTATCAGCTTCTAATGTCCCAGAATACCAGAAAATGTTACGGGGAATTCAAGATTACCCTGTACACATGGTCCTGCTTCGAGGTTAGAGCAAGCTAGCCCGTTCGCTCATACAATACATGGGTAAAGCTGGATAATGATGCAGTCGGGATATTTGGTGGCTTCATCGGGATGGAACCCCGCAACAATTCCTAAGTTGAATTGGCATCCTTACATATCCTTCGCGGACAAGGAACTCAACAGCTTATGCCCGAATGGACAGGATATATACTAGTGGTAGAAACGGCCCATCTACTCTGGATATTGTTACAATAAGATAATTTAGCCAAGCTATGCTGCCGTGTTGAGAAAGGCAGTGGCAGCGGAGTCAAGCAGCACGTGTACTTCCTCTGGGAAGTACTGTTGGAGACAAGAACAAGAACAATAGCAGTAAGCATATCCAGCCACATATATGAATTCTGGTATCATATGTTGATTCTCAACACCATTCCTCAGCCAAAAGGTCGGTTAGGTTGTAGGGCTGAGAAGAGAATTAGGCTTAGCTAATGGACTCGAGGCCAGTTCGGAGCTTTGTTAATCCTGTTCCGGACACCTCGCCAGCGGCAAAGAGCCTCCAAGAACAAACCAAGCTCGGTGACGAAGCTCAGACAGTTGAGCCCGATGTCAATTCGCCAGCTGAAGCCGCAGACGAATATCGCGGTCTTGCGGACGGGCCATGGGTAGTGGCAATGTATAATAAACCACTACTTCTTATGCATATCTACCCTGGCTTCGCTCCGATTTTGAGAATTCGCGGTACAATGGCTCTCCTCGTCGCAGCCGCGATTCTATGGGCCTTGATATGGTGAGCCTAAGTCGAATTATTTAATTGTACATGGGTCAACGGAATGATACTGATGCTTTGTTGCAGGCTTCTATATCGTGCATATCAGGTCTGCCAAACGCCAAACGATATTCTGGTTGAGAAGTTGGGCTTGGATATCCCACCTGCTCCCGATGTCACTCTGGAAGAGATCAGCTCGACTATGATTCGCATTGCCTGGAAACATCCTGATATACACCATTCTATTCACAAGCACCTCATTCAGGTTAATGGCGTCAAAGGTTTGTCGTTTGTCCCTCTCTGCTTCTCTAGGTGACTGGTATATTGTGTATATTAACCAGCCTCTATAATAGTTGGCGAAACAAAACGTTCAGAAACAGCAGTAACCATATCCAATCTCTCCCCGGGCCATATATATCATGTCTGCGTCTCCGCAGTTAGCGCTGCCAATTTCCACACATCAAGTTCCCTCCTTCACGTCCGTACGAAGTCTCTATCAATTTCCGATACTCGGGAGGACGATGTGGATGGCGGCCCACCCATTGTTCGAGCTTACATTTCCAGACCTCCTGCCCCTTCACCTTCGCCATCTGCACCGCTAATGTGTCGAGAGCAGAGTGGTGGGCCACTTCAGGGGAAACGCTTCTCGGGAAATAGAAAATCACTCCCTTCTTCAATTGCAGCACCAGACACTACCACCCACGCAGGCGCCGAGGGCAGCCAAAGGACCGGCAGTGTTGATGAATCCGACGAAAATCTTGCGCGTTTAGCAGAAAGGCTCAAGGACTTGCAGCAGGAGAATGAAACTTTGGAAAAGCAGCTTTGCATGGAGGAGAAAGAACATGAGCTCTTGCTACGGGAGTTAGAGGAACAGCGGAATGAACTAAGACAGCGTGTGAAGGAGAAGGATGAAGCCAGTGGAGACCTTAGAAAACACGTTAGCAGGCTGGAAAGTATCAATCGCACAGTACAAAGCGAGAAAAGCAAAAAGGAAAGACTGCTGCAGCAAAAGGAAGCGGAGCGCCAAAAACGCAAGGAAGATATCGTCCGATGGAATGAACTACTGGTGGCGATGCACGGGAAAATATCTCGTGCCAAGGAAGAAAAGGCGCAAATTGAGTCGGAGGCTGCGAACCAGGTCAACGAGTATCGCAACAAGATCACGAGTGAACAGGCTGAAATGAAGTCTTTGGATGAAGATATCAAAGTGAAAGGGAGCCGTATCAAGGAGATGGAAGAGGAAAGACGTCGGTTAGAGGGCGACGACACTGATGATGGGAAAGAGCTTGATCGCTTGGAGAAGGAGAGAGACCACGCCTGGGAGGTCAAATTGGGAAATCTAAGGGCGCAATATGCCTCCCTCATCAACACCCACTCGCAGGTTCGTTGCCGTGCACCCTTCATTTAGTAAATAGTTTAACTAACTGTATTTATGCAGGCCCAGCAACAATATCAGGACGCTCAAGAACGTCTTAGATGGATTACCTCCCAGCGATCCAATGCCACGCCTCCGTTCGTGGCTGTTCCTTCACTAGATCTAGAACTGGCCCACAGAGCTAGCTTCAATCGTCGCACTCGTCATCGTGGCTCCCTCGTGAGCAACGTTTCGTCTCCCGTGAGCTATCCTGTCATGGACACCTCGTTCACTAATGCTGCACCAAATTACAACGCCGCTGGGAGTGGCTCGCCAACTTTTCCTCCCGGTCCTGCATTTTTCAACATTAATAATGGGATGACTATCCCGGACCCCTCCGACCAGACCGTTGTCAACCGCGCGGATACGGATGTATTAGCAGGCAATCTTCCTATGAGTCCGCGGGCAGATTCTCTCTTACCCTCAAACCTTCTTGGTGACGAGGAGCATGCATCAGCATCTCACCCTTCCGGCATTACCACTCAATTTCCTAAATCGGGTGCCTTCGACAATCTTCTTCCCAACTCTCCCTCACCTATATCTTCTGGGAGCCGCCCTGCGAGCCTATTTACAAGCCCACGTGAAAGCTTAAACAACCTACATGAGAGTGGGCACAATTCAATGGCCATGCCAACCTTGCCAACCCCACAAGAGCCTCCAGATAGTGTTCAAAGCGCTTCTCGTCGGCTATCGGGGCTCTTTAATTTCCATCGCCAACGGGGCAAGACCATGGTGGATAGACCGCCTTTGCTTGGGACTCTCAAACCTGGCCAGAGCCAATCTTTCCCACGAAACTTCGATGATGGCCTTGATCCGATAGGTACAAGACGACGCCGTCTTAGCTATACGGGAAACTGGGCCAATCCCGTCACAAATTTATTTCCCCGCAGTGCGACCACCAATGTCACCAGTGACAGTTCCTCAGACAGGCTACCTGCCAGTCGTAGAGTTATGTTCCCTAACATCTTCAGTTCTGGGAGGTTGACTTCTGCGATGTCCAGCGCCTTGGAGAAATCAGCGATAGATCGTGGCGATGCAGGTACTGGGTACAACCAATTCAGTCCCCGGCATGACCCTATAGATCCGTCCATCCTCGGAACCGTTCGTCGGGGATCCCTGTCTCCGAGACCAGCGTCCACATACTCGTTTGAAAATCATCAACTCCCACGTCCTGCTGCGGATAACCAACCATTCGGATGGCCAGCCACCGACAAAGCGGGACATAGAAATAGCCCACTTGGACTCGACTGGGTGTCTCCTGTAGCCTGGTCCCGCAGCCAGTCACGGCGCCCGTCAGTCCAGTTTGGGTCATCAAGCAATCTGCAACTAGGCTTGGCGTCTGGTGATGTAGATTTTCTTGAAACCCCGTACGAGCAGCAACGCCCAGTGCAAGCCCCCATTGGGACCCGGCCACCGTCCTCTCATCGACCAATAACGCCGAAACTCAACCCGACAGCACCTTCGTTCAAGACCCTTTTTGGCAAAAAATCTGAGAAAGGTAAGAATAAAGAAGCGGAATCCTCAAAGCCACGAGACCAGGAGCCCAATCTTGAAGACGGCTCACCGCCTGAATCACGCCGGTCAAAAGATTCCCGCTCCATCCGCACCTCCACCGCAGAGTCCTATGAGTCCCTGGAACGAACCTCATCAGGCACACCTTCAGAAATAGTAAACCTAAAAGAATCATTTATCCAAAAAATCACACGCAAGAGCAGCTCCAGCAAGTTCAACATCTCCTGGAAAGATCGAGCTGGGCTGTTCTCGAAGAAAGGCGGTGGCGACCTGTCTTCTTCCCTTCCGGCCGCCCAAGGCGACAATATCGACGACGATGCCGTGGCGGCGGAATCCCTGCTCGGTAAAAGTATTGATAGCTTAGCATCCAGCGTGCCGTCGGCGGACAAGTCGATTAAGAGCAGCAGTCTGGGATTCGGTTTCATGCGGAAATCTAAGAAGGAAAAGATCACTGGTGACTTTAGTGAGAAGGCCAGTGAGACTGGCGATGAGGATGTTTCTGAAGATGTCTGATCGGATTCTGGGTATCGCGTTGTGATATATTTATGTTGGGCCTTTGGAGGAGTTGGTATATACATACTTTACTTGGGGATTCCAATATCTTGGATGGTGTTAAACTAGTAGGCATGGTAGCTTTAAAAACTATTATTATTAGAAATCTGATACAATAAAGTTATTCAATAGGAGTAGATGAAACTTGTACTTTAAGAATCACATATCCATGTATATCTATTATTCCATTTGGTGATCTGGTTTGTTTCAACGTTCCTGATCCACCAAACTCTATTGATGGCATCCACCTCCAATTTAACCCAACCCACATCAAGTCTCACAAACACACTCGTCTTCCATACACGTCCCGCCCAAGCACGGATACCCGTGTATAATCTCATGGCGAATTCAAAGTAAGTCATAGTCCCCGTTATCTGCGGCTCCTTTTCAAAATTCACTGTATTAACCATTGTCTGTTCTTTTCGCCCCCCTCCCGAATAGATACGAATACGTCAAGGCATTTGAGCAGGATGACAGCCTGCTTCCAAATACCTGGATTGTTGTCCGCATAGATGGACGAGGTTTTCATAGGTAAGTTAATGCCCTTTTCTTGTTATCGCTATTCTGGCGTTATTTCTTCATCTCTTTTCTCTCTTTTCGCTACGTCTGTTGTTTGCGCGGGGTATACATACGCGTATAAAAAAAGTTTTATGAAAGATTGGATAGATACAAGATAAACTATCCCCTGCTCTTTTTTTAGTATTTATATGGGATAAACAAGCTTGAAGATCGATACTTTTCCCATCTTAATATGGAAGAAAAGAATATATATATTCATATATCCCTTTTTCCCCATCCTTTCTTTCGCTTCTACTTCGCTATTCCAATATCTTCGATTACCCCCACTAACTCTTTCCCCCCCAGGTTTTCCGACCGATATCAGTTTCAAAAACCAAATGACGAGCGTGCGCTCAATCTCATGAACACCGCTGCATGCGCCGTTATGAAAGACCTCCCTGGCTTAATCATCGCATATGGCGTCAGTGATGAATACAGGTGTGAACCTCCTGCTGCCGAACGCAGGCGACTGACAGCACATATATGTATGTACGTGCCTGATACTGATGAATTATTTTCAATAAAGCTTTGTTTTCCACCGGAGTTGTCAGCTATTTGAGCGGAGAAGTAGGTAAGGTTAATCTTTTGGAGCTGGACTTCCCTCTGTGCGCCCTCTAGATGAAATGTATTTTGCCAGAGCCAGAAAAAGAAAGAAAGAAAAAGGAACAGTTTTTGACATGCTATTTCTTTCTTATTTGACAGCAAACTCGTGACTACAATTGTATCGACATTTACTGCTCATTACATATTCAACTGGTCATCTTTTTTCCCGACTACGCCGCTAGAACCCGGATTTCTACCTTCATTTGATGGAAGGGCCGTTCAATATCCGAGTGTACAGAATTTGAGGGATTATATGAGTTGGAGGCAGGCTGATTGTATGTTTCTAAGTCGGTGGCTGTTCAGAATTTCTGCATTTTCCCTGTTGATCTCCGGTATACTTCGTGTGTTCACGGTCATTGATCACGACTGGTTGGATGTCTGGTTCAGATGGGCACCCTTGGCTGACAAATTTATGAATTTTGAAGGTCATATAAACAACCTCTACAATACTACGTTCTGGAATATGATTCTGCGTGGTGGAATGAGTAATACAGAAGCAGAAAAGGCGTTGCAGGTTTGTATATCAGATGTCTCCAGTCCCCCATTTGTAGTGTACTACCGATGCACGAGAGGATTTGCTGATAGAAACAAAATCAGGGCACGGTATCCGGTGATAAAAATGAAATTCTATTCTCGAGGTTTGGCATAAACTATAATAAAGAACCAGAAATGTATAAGAAAGGTAGTGTGATATTCAGAGATGTAAGTGTTGCCCGTTTTTTACGTACCACCATATTTCCCGTCAGGTCAAGCATGTCTCACAACGTTTGGAAAACAGTACGAAATCCAACCTCAAACAGAAAAGAAGGCCGGTGGTGAGTCCAAAGACATAGAATATCAAGTCGGAGAAGAAGAGGGCCCACCGGCAGAAATGACGAAATCCCAAATGGCGAGGGTACGAAAAATACAGAAAAAGGCCACGATCGTGGTGACGCATCTGGATATTATCAAAGATGACTTTTGGGATCAGCGGCCGTGGATTTTATCGAATACGCCCGGTAGGCTCTCTGGGAAAGGGTGAAAATTTTTGATTTCTCCATTCGTGTAGAGTAGGCGGATGCAATTACGAATATAATTGACAAAATAAATACCTAAACAAATAGGGGGGTATCATGAGATCTATTGCTCGCGCAGAAAATAATGATTGGAGCACGCCAAAAAGAAAACCAGGCCAAAATCATATCCGTCCACGTCCATTTCAAATCGCTGTATTGGTTTCGGGGTCATACTCTTTTTTAAGGTATGCCTTATTCGTACTGGCAAGGAGTAGGCATCCCGTATGTTCAAACATAGTTCCCGAGCTCTCGTTTGAGTGGGTTAGGCTGAGGGTATAAACATGAGCGCAAGAAGGGCAGGTTCCACTCCTTATTACCATCATTCTCTCCGCTTGGATTTCTTCTCCTTGCGCTTCAACTCTCGACGCGCTCGCTTCTCCTCTTTCTTCAGCTTTTTCTGTTTCTTTCGTACTTTTTTCTCCGATATCCCATCTTCATCAGCCGGTTCATTGTCTCCTTCTCTTTCGCCTTGCGATAGCGAATCGGGATCAGCATCTTCTAACTTTTGCCGCTTCTTCCGTCTCTTCTTATCTGCACGAGCATCCGAAGAATCTTCTTCTAGCTTAGCGGTTCCTTTCTCTTTATTCCTCTCCTTCCTCTCCTTTCTCCTCCGCCTCCTTTCCTCTTTCGATTCCACCGCCAGCCCTGCATCCTCAGCGACCCCTCCCTCACTAGAATCTCGCTCATCTGGCTTGCACTTCTTCCGTCTCTTCTCCCTCTTCAAAGCCCTCTCCTCCCTTTCCTCCATATCGGCGTCATTCTCATCGCTTCGCTTCCTTTTCCCATTTTTCTCTCCTCTCCCAGGAGCAGTAGAAATCTCGCAACCACCCTTCACCTCCTTGCCTTCATTAATCATAACCCTATCAATCGTCCCTTCCAGCGGCTCCCCTTTCACAAAAAAGCGATATAACTCGCTCGACCCACTAGCGGCTGAGCCAGATCCATCGGACTGGGGCGTCGCACTCCCATCATCACCAACCCCCTTCAATGCCGCCTCGAATCCACGAAGCCACCACTGGTTCGTATGGTCGTGTGTCGTCTGCTTCCCTAGCCCATGGGTGTTCTTTTTCCGCGCGACCAGGATGGGTTTGGTTAGGCCGAGGCCGCCGTGTGGACCCGGACGTCGGTTGGGGTTTAGAGGGTTGCCCGGGCCAGACCAACCCTGGCCAAGGAGATATGCGTGCGTATCCATTGAATTATTGTATTTTATCCAGAAGTCAGCGTCGGCTTGGGAAGGAAGGGCTGCGGCGTAACAGTTTCGCGCGTGTTGCCCGACTCGAGATAGATCAAAAGATCCTGAGTAGTAGGAAACGAGGCATCGAGAAGGGTCTAGGAATAGAATACCCTCCTTTCAGATATATAACCAGTGCATGGCGAGCTGCGGGCTTCTAATGTCGGCTTGCGAAAATTGTTTTTTGTGCCGATTGCTTAGTAAGCAGAAGCAATAGCGCAGCGCTTAGGATAGCAAGTTACGAAAAACCAGAGCCAATGCAAAAAATGAAACTCCCGATTTGTATTTTTTTATTTTCTCTACGAAACGTAGTTAATCTGTGTACACAGAACAGGAAGAGAAGAAAGAAAGCGAAAGAAAGTAAATCGGAGCTCCTTATACAAGTGACGCCAGCACAAAAGCACAGAAAGCATCTCCAACGCCGAGCTATATATTATGTGCGTGGGTGCCAAACATCTAGTGATTATTTTCAGTTTTTTTTCCTCTTCTCAATTTTTCGTTTCTCTTCCACTCTCCTCATATCGTTGGATAAAACCGCTGTAGAAAAAAACCCTTTTTTGGCCAGAAAACATTACAATCTTAAAGGGGGCTGAAAGAGGCGGGCAGAAAAAGAAAACAAAAGCAATAGTACTCACCCAGGCTAAGATGGAAGGCTGTGAAATGGACAAGCCACAATAAAGAACGCCACATCATTGGAAGAAATAACCAACCAACTAATACAAAGCCTAGCCATGCGGGATGGTTGTTTTTTTTTTGTCGGTACGCAAGTGCTAATGACATGGAGTGGTAGTACAGCGATGTGATGAGGGGAAAAAACCATCGCGAAATGAAAATAAGGGAAGAGGAATTCTTCTCGAAAGCAAATACATAAACAACGTCGAGCCTACTGGCGAGGAGATCTAAAAAATAAATATTAGTACTTGGTCTCTGAGCATATAAACGTAGAATAACTCACGTAGGGTTGAAGGTAGGGGAGGTCGGGCTGTAGCCAGGAGATGTTGGGCCACCCGGAGAAGTTGGCGAGCCCGAGAAGTTGGGAGAGGTAGGTGAGTAGGTTTCCGGACTAGTTGGAGACCAGCCAGGGGACGTGGGTGTATATTTGGGAGATGTAGGAGATGTCGGGGAAAGATGTCTTCCAGTCGATATGCCGAGGGCAGGACTCGTAGGGCTATAGCTAGGAGAAGTAGGACTGAATGCAGGCGAGGCAGGACTGAAGCTGGGAGACGTTGGGCTATAACTAGGGGATGTGGGGGAGAAACCAGGTGAGGTAGGAGAATACGATGGCGAAGTTGGCGACTGTTGGTAGCCTGGAGAAGTTGGTGAATAGGCAGGCGAAGTGGGCGCGAAAGCCGGACTGGCGGGTGAAAACCCAGGAGAGGACATGAATCGAGGACTCGTAATGCTCATACCAGGAGAAGTCGGGGAGTAGCCAGACGATGGAGAGTAGCGAGGAGAAGTTGGGCTGGTATTGAACGGGCTGGTAGGCGAATAACCTCCACCTGGGCTTCTTGCTCCATGAGGGCTGAAGCCACCGCTGAACCCGGAGGGCTGATATTCAGTGAACCCTGCAGGCGTCTCGGATCCAGCTTGTCTGATTGGGGAGAAATTGGAGTCAGGGTCTGGTGATCCAATGTACATGTTGTCCCGCAAAGGGGAGCTGCTATCGTATGGAGTAGCCGCTCCGTCACCAAGTAATCCTTTGCCATCAGTCATTAGACCAGCATTGCTCGAAACGACTCCCATGAGCATATCCTGATCCAGGTAGACATCAAACTCCCCAGTTCCAGCTGGGGCCATCTGTCCTAAGATCAGATTCTCAGATACACCACGGCAGTCATCCAGCTCTGCAAACGCAGCGGCGTCAAGTAGGATCTCCACTGTTTCCTCAAAAGAACATCTCATCAGAGCGCCAGTATCAGCACGATTGATACCATGTCTGGTGACTGCCATGAGGAAGCCCCGTGAAGTCATAACATCGACGAGGAGGGCCAAATGACGGTGGTTGACGTATGATCCATCAAATGCAAGCACCTGGGTTAATTCTCGCAAAAGTGCAGTTCGAGTAGCTTCGATTCCGAATACTTCAAGAATCTCAATGAACTGATTAGAGTACGTGCGAGTTGTATCAACTCCAGGGATGGTCAGGACTTCGCCGAGGGCGGATCCACTGGTTTCAAGAACCCACTCCTTACACAACGGGTCCTCGGCGCTTTGATAGAGAGATCCATCCTCCAAGACACGGACTCTCGATTTCTCATTGATGAATGCGCGTTCGATGCCAGCCACGCCTCGTAAAGTAAGGGTATCAAGCAAGTGGCTTTCCAGCTTCTTTAGAGTTACATCGTATTCAGTGTCATCATCATCGTCATCCTGCTTAGAGTCTTGGATTTGTCGGATACGGATGACCTGCTCGTCAGCGTTGTTATCACTGAAAATAACAGCAATATCTTGCGGATAAGCGTCTTTGATTTTCATTGCAACATCTTGGACTGTAAGACTCTTGTCAAGGAGCTTCGGTCGACTCAAGATGATTCTAAGCAACCATTTCGACTGATGGCTCGAATCATCTGCGACATCCTCAGGGATAATGAAGTAGGATTCAACCATGTCACGGTCCGCTTCAATCACTGTAGATTGGATATCAGGGTCATAGTAGATCTCCGTCGCTTCCGTAACAGACCTCAGACTGGTATGCTCAACAACGCTGCGGAGTTGCTTGACAGACTCCTTGTCCATAGCACGACTAGGGTCCTGATATACAGTCATAGAAGGAGTTTTGATGTGCGTGGCCACATTGAGAATTTCCTTCAGACGAGGCACACCGAGGGTAACGTTCTTGGACGAAACACCAGCAAAATGGAATGTGTTCAACGTCATCTGTGTTGCTGGCTCTCCAATTGATTGTGCAGCCAAGACACCAACCATTTCACCCGGGTTTGCCATCGCCTTGGAGAATCGACTTTCGATAGCACCCAGTACGTGCTGGAATGCGAGCCGGTTAAGAGAGTATTCCACCACAAGTCTGCGGAATGCAAGGCGGGAGCGGAGCTGAGCCTTGAAGAGTAGGGTGGCGCTTTCTTGTGCTTCCCGGGAAATCACATCGTCACCACGAACAACGATAAGGCGGTCCAGTAGGGCTCTGATTTGAGGTATGACCTCTGCAGGATGCAAGTCGCTAATGGCACCTTCTCGAATTCTGAATATCGTTTTCGCCGACTCGAGAATTCGCTGGACATTGATTGGCAGCTGCATCATTTCCTCGTCCTCTTTGGCAACGCTACGCATAAAGGCCCGGTCCTTCAAGAGCTGTTCCCATTCTTCGTCAAGATACTTCTGTACCTCGATATCGCCGGCAATTTCCGTAGCTTGTTCCAACACGTTGGGCGAGAGAGTCCTTTCGGGGTCCATCAGATCGATTCGATATCTGTCGCGGAATCTCTCATCCGAGCATTTAATAATATCGACACGTTGATTTTCTATATGTGCGCCGTCCAAACCATCCTCTCCGTACAGGAACTGGACAACATCTCCAAGCGAGTTGCGAACTGTACCATCGTATTTAACCATGACCTCTTCCAGGGCCTTGACAAGCTTCCGTTGGATATATCCCGTTTCAGCTGTCTTGACAGCAGTGTCAATCAGACCCTCACGACCAGCCATAGCATGGAAGAAGAACTCTGTGGGCGTAAGACCACGGAGATACGAATTTTCGACGAAACCACGAGACTCGGGTGAATAATCATCCTTTGTAAAATGTGGCAAAGTACGATATTTGAAACCGAATGGGATGCGTTTTCCTTCAACGGATTGCTGGCCGACAACAGCAGTCATTTGAGAAATATTGATAATCGAGCCCTTTGAACCAGAACGCGCCATTTGAACAGCATTGTTCAAGTCCTTAAAGCTCTTTTCTGTCTCCGTTCCGGCCTCGTCACGGGCATTGTTAAGGGCGCGGGACACTTTGCTCTCGAAGGTTTCACGGACATTCATACCAGGCAAGGGCTCAAGAGTATTATCCGTCGCACTAGCTGTGATCTCATCAACTTCCTCCTTTCTCACGCGAACTGCTTCCTCAATCTTCTGGATCGTCGCTAGATCCGGAATTGTATCACCAATTCCAATACTGAAACCGTGGTGTAGTAGCCAGTAGTTCACGACGGTTTGGGCCCCATTGAAGAAATTCATCGCCAGTTCAGGTCCATACTCGTTGAAAATAGTATGAATGATACCTCCACCTGTTGCTCCAACCGTCTTTTTGGAAAACATTCCGTACATAAGTTCGCCACTGTGTACTAACAGTCCACCATCAGTTAGAGGGGAGAATTTCTCCGAAAGGGGTGCCTTGTCTCGATCAACCCGAAGAAGGTTCAGACCAGCAGGAAGGACCATGCTGATCACTTGTTTTCCAGTCCACCTCGGCCTGGGTTTCAAAATGGCTGGCTGGGGTATTACGCCATCCCAATCAGGGACCCAAAGTAGAATATTCATGATCTGCTCTTTCGTTAAGAAAACGTCACGACTGCAGATTTTGTAGATTCCACAAAGAGTGTCCTGCACGATACCCATCAACGGGCCGTTTCGTTGAGGGGATACAATTTGCAAGGGCACCATGCAAAGTTGACTGAGCTCAGCGCGGGCCTCCTCGCTTTGTGGAACGTGCAAGTTCATTTCATCACCGTCGAAATCAGCGTTGTAGGGGGTGGTAACGGACAGATTTAGTCGGAAAGTCGAGTACGGCATGACGCGAATACGGTGACCCATCATAGATTCCTTGTGCAAGGACGGCTGCCGATTGAATAGGATCACATCGCCATCCACGATATGACGCTCCACTCTCCATCCATACTGCAAAAAGTTTCTCCCACCTCCACCCTTGTGAAGGCGCAAGTCGATACGTTCGCCTGTGTTGCGGATAACATAACGGGCACCAGGATGAATATCGGGGCCGTTATCAACAAGTTCACCTAGCTTGGCAATGTTGAAAGGAGTGACGACCTCCGGATAAGTTAAAGTCTGAGCAATGCTGAGCGGAACTCCAACTTCGTCCAAAGACAGATTCGGATCACCGGTAATAACCGTACGAGCCGAAAAATCGACACGTTTTCCCATCAAGTTTTGACGCAGGCGGCCTTCCTTACCCTTCAGACGACCACGGATAGCTTTGACAGGTCGATTAGACTTTTGCATAGCTTGTGGCTGTCCGGCAATATCGTTGTCCATATAGGTTGCAACATGATACTGCAAAAGAGACTCAAATTCACGGACCACATGCTCAGGAGATCCTTCCTGTTCGCATCTGGTGACATTCTGATTCGCACGAACAATCTCTGCCAGTTTATATGTTAGGTCGTCCTCTCCACGTTGGCCACTCCCACTACCGCCGACGAGAACACTGGGACGGACTGGTGGCGGAGGAACGGGAAGAACTGTGATGATCATCCACTCTGGTCTGGCATAATCGTTGCTCAACCCCATCAAACGAACATCCTCCTCTGAGATGGTTTTAAATATGTTAAGGGCCATCTGCGGAGTGATCTGTCTCTTCTCAGGCTGTTGTACGTCCATATCGTCCATCATATCACGGTTCTTGCTAGGCTTCCAGGTCCCAACCAAACTAATCCCTTCTTTACGAATTTGTGGCTGAATATTTCCGCATCCACCGTGAGAGTGCACAGGCTTGGAAGGTTCCTTGCCGAAAGGGTCATCATCATCTGGGCTAGGATCAGCTTCACATATCAAGACATCTTTTGACAGCCGCCAAATCGCATCAAAGCGTCGCTTTGGGTCGCGGAAACGCAGCGCTTCCAAATACTTTTGGTCGGTCTGGATTTCATAGATGCAGTGTCAGCAATGAGTAACAACTCATGATTTGCCATCCCCATCAGGGATGACTAACCGTATTTGCCTTGATCTTTCCACAATTGTGGCAAACAGTTTCCAAAAGTTTCTTGATTTTAGTCAGGAAACCTGATGTGAGCGTTAGCTTTAGGTAGTCCAAGCATAGCTAGACTTAACGTAAGTCTCACCAATATGGAACACAGGAGTAGATAGCTCGATATGCCCAAAATGTCCAGGACAGTCGTTGATTCCCTCTTCGCAGGTAGCGCAGCGCCAGTTCCGATCGATGGTACCGAGACGAGGGTCATTTAAACCTTTCTCCCGTGGGCGTTGCCGTTGCTCATCCTATTGTAGAAGCTCTCGTCAGTTTTCTGCTGACGAACGAAAAATGTGATTAAACAGCAGCTGCATTTCCAAGTGCACCAACCATGGTCTCAGGATACTCCACATGGACCACGCTCATCCTCTTGATCTCCTCGGGCGAGAGAAGACCAAATTGGATCTCCTTAATCGTGCGCAGCTGCGCCTTCGAGTAAGGGAATTTGACGGACGTCATGGTTGTAGTTGATGAGAGATGTGATGACAGTTGAAAGGAAACTGTAGTAGGTTTGTAAGGCGACGACAAGTACAGCAAACACCAGTAAGAGGCAAGGAGCGTTAGCGGTTAGGCAGGCAGTGACGCGATCCTTCACTAGAAACTGAACAGGTAAATCGAGATAATGTCAAAACGACCGCTCCGGTGATGAAAAACGACCGCGGTAGCTGGCCTTCGCCGGCCTTTGGCAGACCCTGCCGCGAGGGCGCCTTCGACCCTTCCAACTCTCTTTGAACGTGATTTCGGGGCGAAAAAGAGCGTAGTCGCTGAAAATACTGAATCAGGCGACGTGAAAAGAGATACCGCGATGTAAAACGCGATATGCTCCGGGTTATGTTGATGGTTGGGGGTCTTGTCGGGGTGATGAAAGGAGATTGTGTTGAGAGTTGCCTCACTTGCGATCGCCTTGGGTTTTAGCACGACTTTTTCCTCAGAGCCGCATGGACTGCGCTAGCCGCTTAGGTAATTATTCTTCACTTGCGCTAGTGACTGTAACAGGCTTGGAGTTTGACTGCGTGGCGGAACTGTCCGAGTCTATGCCCCATTTGGGTAACCCCAGCTGTAGCTTGGGTTTATTTTAGTGAAATGCTACCCTTTTGACTGTTGCCCGTTTTGGGCTGGTGCGGGAAATTTTGCTCTCCCAGCCACCAAGGGGATGACTAATCCTCATTGACAAGGCGGCTGCTAGTTGAATCTCCACAGCAACAAACTCCAACGTTGACCTTGAGGTAACGGGCAGCAATGACACCGGCAAGGAGATCACACCAACGGCTCAGTTATCCTTGGAGTGCTCCACCCCAATGTCCTCGATGAATCCTTGTGCATATCGTCGATTATTCCTGCACCACGAGCCACCATGAATCTGGCTTTGATTGACCCGTTTGTTCTTGCTCAAGACTACCCAGATGCCCTCACGGGCAAGCTCCGTGCGTGCTTCTAGCTTATAACACTGCTATATTGTGAAACCAAACGCTGACAATGAAGCTCTCCTGTAGGCAGCGGACACGCTACTTGCTTACGATTCAACCGCAAGGGTGACTTCCTAGCTTCTGGACGAGTAAGCTTGTCCACTATCAACCGATATTTATTCAGTTCGTCAACTAACGGAGTTTCCCACCCACAGGTTGATGGCACCGTCGTGATATTTGACGTGGAGACCAATGGCGTCGCCCGAAAGCTACGAGGGCATAGCAAACAGATTCAATCGCTAAGGTTTGCTTTTACCATCCACCGATTTAACATGCGTATATTGCGGACGCTGGTGAGCTAACTGGCACTAGCTGGTCGAGAGACGGCAGATATCTACTCAGTTCTTCACAGGATTGGAAGTGCATATTATGGGATATGAAAGATGGCTCCCGCGTGCGAACCGTGAGATTCGAAGCCCCAGTATACATTGCCGAATTCCACCCATTTAACCAGTATGTCATGCCACTGTTATACCCCCTCCAACCATTACCAATATATTCTAACCCAGAAACGCCTCAGCTGGCTTTTTGTCGCTTCATTGTTTGAAGAGCAACCAGTTCTCGTCGATATATCCGCACCGCGGCCCGTAAAACGGATTCTCCCTTCCGCTCCCCTGCGACCTCATCTCGAAGACACCGATCCGGCGGTAGTTGCAAAACAAGCGGCACAAGACGCGAAACATTCAACTTGCGTCACAATATTCACTGCACTTGGAAACCACATAATATCAGGCACATCGAAGGGTTGGATTAACATCATCGAAACCCAAACGTGCACTACAATCCACTCAACGAGACTATGTAACGGCGTCGTAATCCTCCTCCGCCTTGCTAGAAACGGACGTGATCTACTCGTCAACAGTTCAGACCGCGTCATTCGCACAATACTGATACCCGACCTGTCCCAGCTTGGCGTCAGCCTCGATCCCTCCGCTATAAAGCTCGAAGTCGAGCACAAATTCCAAGACGTCGTCAACCGCCTGAGCTGGAACCACGTCGCCTTCTCATCCACAGGAGAATTTGTTACGGCCTCCACCTTCATGAACCATGACATCTACGTCTGGGAACGCAGCCATGGTTCTCTCGTGAAGATCCTCGAAGGCCCGAAGGAAGAACTAGGCGTTGTAGAATGGCATCCTAGCCGTCCGATGGTGGCAGCCTGCGGCCTCGAGTCGGGATGCATATATACATGGTCGATAGTGAGCCCGCAGAAATGGTCTGCGCTAGCGCCGGATTTTGCAGAGGTAGAGGAGAATGTCGCGTATGTGGAGCGCGAGGATGAATATGACATCCACCCCGCTGAGGAGGTGCATCAGCGCCGTCTAGATCTAGAGGATGAGGAACCGGACGTTTTGACCATTGAGCCGGTCAAGGGCGAAGAGGATGATGCGGGGGGTGCCTTGCATGCCTTCCGCATGCCTGTCCTACTCGATATAAGCGACAGTGAGAGCGAGGATGACATCGTGGCTGTGGGACCGGGGACCATGCGGCGAAGAAGTCCCGGTGCGGCGAAGGAACCAGTCAATAATAGTGCGGGCGGTAATAATGGTGGGGAAAGCGGAGGTGCTGCTGTTACGAATAATGGCATGGGCCGTGCTCAAAACAAGGGGCGGCGGAGATAAGGCACCAGAGAATTTTGATAATAATGACGATCGTGATGTATTATGATGAAAGGACAGCTCAAGATGTGTGTGCTCATTTGCCAATGGGATGTGTGTTATCTTGTGTTAGGCCCCCAAGAACTCTCCCGCACATCTATTGTTAGAGGGTGAAATACCTGTTGGTTCTTCGAGCTGAATTTCTTACCCAACGTGGCGCACCATTCACCCTGGGAGGTTCTTAATATTCATCATAGTGGGATGTTGCAGTGTTTCATTCCAACTTGTAATAAAATAAACAATGCATCATTCCAGGTCCGATAAACGGAGGACAATATAACTCTCCTTCCCGTTGCCCTACATCACACCAACCGTGAAGAAAACAATAGGCTACGAATCCAAAGGGGAAAATCCGGAAATAGACAAGGAAAAAGAAAACAACAGAAAAAAAGCAAAGAGAAAACAGAGAAAGCACACATATCATTTTCCACAACAATGTTAAATATCTTGTCAGCGCACACGTAATGTATGTATGTACATGTACATGTACATAGTTACATACATCCATACAAACCAAGAGAAAAAGCGAAAAAACCGGGTTAAAACCAGCGGCGAAGCCCGCTCGCCCGCGCCGCATCATGGCAAAAAAGCACCAACGAGCTAGGAGGTGACTGGCTAAATTGGATATACAGCAGCGAGCCCCCAAGTCCATGTTCGCGCGTGCAGTATCCGCTCTGTCGGGTCCTGAGAACAAAGAGGGAAAAAGAAAAGAGGGGAGCGAAGGAGGCGCTGGCATGCTCTGCGATTCACTTCAACATCTGCATTGTTGCTCTTATCTTCCACCAGTTTCCAATGTCTTTCAGTGGAAATGATATGAGTAAAAAGAACAACCACTAACTAGTGAAACTTGGGGGCGGTGGGAAAGAATAGAAACAATAGCGAGAGTAAGAGGTTGTGCGAAGAGAAACAAAGGGAGGGAGCCAATCACCTGGTTGGATTGTATAGTTCAAAAAGAACCTGTGGGCTGGATAAACGAAAAACGTTGGGTTGTTTCTGTCTGAAGCAAGGCGGAGCAAGAATATATGGAAAAGCAAGTTGTGCCAGGTCAGGTAAGGCAAAAGAAGTAACCTTTTTCTGCTGATTTTATATATTTTTCTATTCCGCTCTCCCACCTGAAAAATGAACAATAGTAATAGTTGGAAGGGATGTATGGTTGGACAATTAATCGTGGTGAGATTAGGATGGAAGAATGCGCGAAATAGGGATATGGACATGCATATATGGAGGATAAAAATAGTTTATATCGAAAGAAAAATAAAGTAGCAGTATATATATGACAACAAATAGGAAAGAAGGATAACATCTTTGGAATATTTAGTGAATGGGTCACCAAAGCAAGAAAAGAGAGGGCCAGGAATGGAGAGAAAGAGAGAGCGCCATACAAGCTAGACATCAATCATTCATCGTATCGAGAGTCATTATATCATCCTCACCAAAAGAAAGGAAGGCATGAGGATACAGAAAACAAGAGAAACCTCCATCATGGTTCCCCCGCTATGGCTTTTGATGTCTTTCCGATCTATGTGTATATCATGGTTAATAATAAAAAAAATTATTCATGTCCAGGAACCCAGGAGAGAATGCTGTCGACGGAATGGAAGAGGTACAAGGGCTCAATAACGATCGACAAACAAAATTAAATGAAAAATTTTCAAAATTAAATGAGCAGGCAAAATCAGGGAGGAAACGTCTATAGTTGTTGAGGGCATAAGACGGAATAAAGATTTCAAAACAAGAAATGGAGGAAAGGAATTCGTCGTTGCAATGTCGTTTGGTCGGGTCATTAATTAAATGGACTTTTGTGTGTCTCCGGACCCCATTACTGTTCCTTGGAGTTGGGCAACGAGATTTTCGAGTTGCATAGCTTTTCAATAGTGGTCCTTCACCGATATTTGATGCTTCTTACCAACAAGTCAAAGGATAACTATAGGCATTTGGACCCGAAAGGAGGTATGCGACGAGGCCTCTACCAAACCAGTCAAAAGCTGGAATACAACAGTCCCGCCCGTTTCGGGATGATCTGAGAAGCCGCAATCATATTTATCGGGACAACGCGTAAGATGTACTCAGAATCGATATTGTGCCATTCAAAACGGATCTTGGGAGGGGGAAAGAGATGGTAGGAAACCACTGACGTGGGGAGTGAAGGGTTTGTCTTCAAACGTCGGACTAGTGAAACTAAGCACAAAAGTGCGCTTTCATCGGATTGGGTTGTCTGGTCGTCTGGCAGTATATATATGCAGAAGATTGAACACCTGGGTGCGTTTATCAAACGCCTGCGCTCGTGCTTCCTGGGCCAATAAATCAATTTGCTCGACCGACCAGCCCTTTACACGGCTGAGAGGCCCAAGTATGAGAGCATAGGTGCTATCGGAAAAGGCAAAATTATGCCATTTTCCAACCTCCTTTTCGTATTTTTCATCCGGCCATGTGTTTAGCGGCAGGCCAAGCATCAGGTGCTTTATATCCACGAAACCAGCTTCTTTCAGCATATGCGTTGTGCTTCGATTGTGCGCGATCGGCCTATTCGCCTGATCTGTTGCCTCCTTCAGATTTAAATACCATCGATTAAGGGGCTGATCAGCCGAGAACTCATCGTGGCAGCGCGGTTCAAAGTCAATTTCCACTTGTTCGAAGTACCCTGTCCCAGGACGCAGGTGTCGTATAACCTTTTGATACAAATTAGGCCAGTTCGACACACTCCCACATCCCATTTGGAGATGAATCATATCCCAAGAATTCTCTCCCAAAAACCAAGGGCTCTCATAGTCCCGAGGTGTCTGAAAATCGCAATTTGGCGGGTGCTCTTGGGGCTGCATCGCCGCCAGGTCAATCCCCAACACGTATGCGTGTGGGTACCGCGAGGCCATTTCCATTGCCCACATTCCGGTTCCACAGCCAAGATCTAGTATTCGAGGGCCGTGATCGGTAACCATTCGAGGGCCCCCCGAAAGGCTATTCATAAGCGGAGAAGGATTGCTGATTGGAACATCATGTAGCACATTCCCGCGAGCCACCAAAAATACTTTGTGGAAAATATCCAGACGATCTCGTTCTAGTTCATCGCACGGATACATGTATATGCCTCGTCGAAATCCATGATACAATCGTCCGTTTTCCTCGTAACAAGGGTATTCTTCAGTGTACCTATGTTTATCGGAATAGACATTAGCCAAGGGACATAAAAACAATCATTTCTCTATTGGGAGAAATGAGAAGTATGATTTACGGCTGCGAATAGTTAGGTGATTTCGGTCGTGCGAATGGATGAGAGACAGCTGGCAGATGGCTAGCGCAACGAAACACTGTACGGGCATAAAATGGAAGAAAAACGAAAAAGAAAAAAGCTTACGTAGAGTTTACAGTTCCGTGAGACTCGTTTTTCGGAGAGTCTAACTCAGCTTTTGTTTGGGGTTGCCTTCGAGGTGCAAGATCGGTGAGGACTGAGAGGTCCATAGTAGGGTTACTGATGTGATGCCACCCAACGAGGGAAAATGACAGACAGCAGGTTAAACGCGACCTTAGGGGTCCTTCCAATGCCAATGAACGACAACGGGAGGAGTGGGCGAAGAGGAAGGAGGTGGAAGAGGTAGAAGAGGCAGAGGGAGTCTGATGAGGCTGATGGAGAGAGAGAAGCCGGCGTAGCAGATTGAGGAGGAGACGAGGGTTATGTAGATCGGCGTAGCGTAGGGGGAAATACTGGGAGCTGCTTTTATTCCAAGCGACACATGGAGCGATTGATATTATTATTATTACTATCGTCAGCGTTCCGAACGTGCGTCGGGCAGAGGGGCAGCTTGTCGCAGTACCTCTTCGGGCAAGGAGGGTGAACGAATCCGGCGCAAGAAGCAAAAGAAAGAATAATAGAAGGAAAGCCGAGGAACAAATGCCAATTGAATGGTACTTGGGCGATGGACAGTGGCTGGCGGGAGAGGATGGTCCCATCAAATAATAATATAGCCTGGCCTGGAGATGTTGCGGCGAGAAGGTGGGATGGAGGGATGGGGAGGGGAGGGATGCGCTGTACGGTTCGGTACGGGGGTGGAGGAGCTGGTATGGTATCGTATGGTATGTACTGTACATAGATTACAGTATAAACCCCGTAAGGTAAGCGGTAACCAAGGTGGGCGGGTCTCTTGGCTGGGCGATCAGGTCGGGTCAAGAAGCAGGGACTGGACAAACAAAACAGTTGGAAAAATGGAATGGAGAAGATGATCAAAAGAGGCAAAGTTCAATGGCGCGGGGAATTAATATAAATGTCTGAAATTTTGTGGGTTTGTTGGTTGGTACCTGGGCACGCGATTTAACCCAAGTTAAACCACGAAGAGGTTGAAACCACCACAACGCAAAGACAAGGACAGGGGGGAAGCTGCAGAGAGAGTTAATAGGAGAAGGAGAACAGAGGGTAGTTAGTCCAATCAGTTGACACTATACAATTTGTTGGGCTCTGTTACCCTCCACTCATCAGACATCAGGACTTGTGGACAAACGTCAACGCTGAACTTCACTAACGCCCTTGACTGAAGTAGTGAAGTAGTAAGAAATGGGGGCCTTCTATCAATCATCAGTCTGGTTGGTGCTTGGTTAGCTCACCAATGGCATCATGCAATACACTACATCATCATCCCTTTCATCTCTTTTAAAGGGGCATCATGTTGGTTAGTTATGGTTTTTGTAATAGTCAACAACTTTTTTTTTTTTTTTTTTTTTTTTTTTTTTTTTTTTTTTGGGCAGAAAAGTAAAAAAGTGACGACGCATGGTCAATTATTATGGGTCAGTGAAACAGCCCCAGATAACAAATTCACATGCGGAAAAGGGCGCTGTGTCGCCATCCCAATCCCGGCGGAGTGGTAGTCGGTTGGAGCTTGTACAGTAATGTCACACCCTTTCTTAGCTTTTCTACTTGTATCAATGTGCTTTGAGAACAGCGTCGTACGGTACGGAGTATATTAATTAATAGTAGTAGTATTGTATTTCACAGCAACATCGGTGGAAAAAATATCTCGGGGTCTTCGGGGATAGTTGAATTGTCAACTTGCCATAACGCAAGGGCGCTCAGGACACGTTAAATCTTCTCCTTCAAGCACGAACTAGGAACCTAGAAGACCTACTTCGACATGCTGGGCGCCGTGCTTGTACAGAAATTTCGCAATCCCGAAGAAAGTTCCGACACTGCTGTGCCTTCTTCAAACGCCGCAAAACTTAAGCGTGGCTGCCACGTCCGGCCAGGATAATTTTATTCGGAGATGTACAGGACAATACGGAATAGATTCTCATTATTGATTGTCTGGTCTGTATGTATCTCAGCCTCGTTTCAACAGGGTTTGCTGTTGGGGCCAAAAGTTAGTCGACAGGCTTGAGTTCATCCGGCTTTTAGTTGCCTAAGTTTGGTTTGGTGCAGCCCTCCGCTCACGATCTATTCCCAGCGGGCACCTCCCAGCAAAGTATGGCGTCAAGATGGATGGGTTCGCTTGGCGCTGACAAGATGTCCATGGTTCGTCGGCCAGGACCCAGGGGTGGAGTCTGCCGGAAGTCAAAGTAGCCATTTTCGGCGACTGCTGATCTTACAATTGAATTGGACTTTTTCGCAACAATCGTCACCACTTTTGTTCTTGGACAAGCTCAGTCTCATCTCAACAACATTTAGAGGGCCTAGATGTGGAATTTGGAGGGCCCCAGAATATGTACAGAAAAGTTCCGTCAATTTGATCGGGCGTTGAGCTGTCCCATTCTCCACTAGGTAGCCGTATCCGGAGTCATATGTTGGATTGATGTGGTGTTTGATAAGCAAATATGGGCTTCTAACAAATCCAACAGGTGTGTTGACAGTTCATGCATGGGAGTTGTATGCCAACGCTTGAACAGTAATGGGCTCTCAAAAGCCATTTTTGCCCCATTGGCATACTTCATGGTCCATTTCCGAGCAAGTTTATCCGGGGTTGCCGTTGAGTCTATCAAACACTTTCCAACTCATATCGTAACCTCCTCCGAAGGACTGGCACTTGATTTACACTTGATTCGAGATAGGGCCTGAATGGTGGGTCCTACTGACCGGACGACCATTTATTCGCTCATTATTAACTTTGAATCTTGCACAGAGTTGGTGGAAGCAACTTCAAGCGCTGCGGAGGATTGTACTGCCCAGTACGGAGTACGTAGGACGTTCTTTGGCTGCTGAATCTGGTGGTATACGAGCTTCCCCTTCCATGTTAACTTGCACACCATACCGGACATGAACGGAGATAGGAAAATGGTTCAAATTTCCTTGCTTGAGCTTAGTCGTTCTTCCAGCTGAAAGAAAGTGACGCAGTGAATATTATTCAGGCTGTTTTTAATCAGTTGTGCTGGTCAATTCCTAGCCATGTTTGCTCTGTGACTGGTTGAAGAGGAGGAGGATAATGAAACACCCCTTGCATTAGGAACACGCAACATCGATCGGGGCAATTCTGTGACGCTAAGAGAATTTCAGAAATAAACTCCCATAATCGCAGGGGATTGGATTAAGGGCAGCAAATCATCTTCTCCCTTTAGTTGCTTTGCTAGTGTGAGGAATTCTCGAGATCATGACCTGAAGATTCGATTTTGTCTGCAAAAGAAAACCGTTCTACTCATCATCCCCTCTACTCTCAACACTAGACCTATTTAGTGACAAGGTTGCCTGGTTGGCTTGGCTCTCCTAGCTTCGAAGCAGCTAAAGAGGAAGATGAAGATGAAGTTGAAGTTGAAGTTGAAGTTGGGAAAAGAGAAGAATAGAAGAAGAAGAAGAAGAAGAAGAAGAAGAAGAAGAAGAAGAAGAAGAAGCAGAAGCGTCATAGTTATCAACTCAACAACAGAAGGAGGGAAGGAGCTAGATGAATAATCAATACAAAATAACCTAACTATTGGGTCCATATGTTGTATTGTATGAGAGTATCTTTTAGTTCCCCAAAAAGAAAAAGTACACCACTTGGGATGCGACGTACCCTCCAGCCTAAAACCTGGCGCATTTGAGGACACATAGCCATTGGCCATGATGGACAAACTCGCTTGGGGGGTGGCTTCCCGTCCCAGAGCGTCGGAACACCAGTGTACTCCGTAGTGTACGGAGTACAGTACATACAACTAGCTGCGACGGACCGCCAATGGCCCCAGTGGCCCGGTTTAGCTCATGGAAAACCGACGTGCATGGAGCCCAAACTTCTGCTGTTGGGTCCTTGGGTGACACAATACGGTAAGTTATGTTCTGGGGCGTAAATTACGACCCTATCCTATCCCTTGGTTCCTTCGATTTCAATACCAAGACCCATAAGTCCGGTACTCTTAACATACATACAATACATGGTTAACGTTACATACATACATAACAGTACCTATACACACAACCATCGACATGAGCGCAACCAAGCAGAATAATAGCGTCTTCTTCTCCCATACAAGCTGACAAGGCAGTGAGAGAGATATGTATATTCTGGATGTTTGCGTTGCTGAAGGATAATGATCTCGCGGAAGAGTTGTCGACGTCTTGCTGGATATATACCAATGACTGAGGAAATTACTCGTCATCAATTTTTTTTAAATTTTCTCTCTCTCTCTCTCTCTCTCTCTCTTTTTTTTTTTTTTTTTTTTTTTTTTTTTTTTTTTTTTTTCTGCTGGACACACACCCCAGGAAATTTCTTCCTCTCTACAAGCTGTTCGCTCCTTGCCAATCAACTACTATCCCAGGCATCAATGAGTAGATAGATGAACAAATTACCATACATTACCAGTTTCTATATATTGAGGGGGATTGCTATCGAGTCTCGACTGGTCCGTGTCCCATGGCTTCCCCATCACAGTATCGATTGTTGCACCAGACAAGCCAGTCATCTCTCTCCCTGCCGCCTGGGAGCTACATCTACTCTCTATGCCAGAGTGGCATTGATGCGTTGGCTGCGATCTCTTCAGATAACTCGCTGCGACGTTTTGATCGCGAGACATTGAATGTCCTCCCTGATGGGGTGTTCGCAGATATTCATCCTGGTCAAGATGGTGGTGGGGTGACCTGTGTCTGCGAAGTTGATCCCGCCTCTGTCGAAGGGAAGAACATAGTTGCCACTTCGGGCAGAGATGGGACCGTGAAGCTGTGGGATGTGAGGGGGAAAAGAAGAGATGCAGTTCTGACGGTCACAGTAGGTAGGACAATCCCCATATGCGCATTGAGTTGTTGTCTCTTTTCGCTAGGCGCATCCCTTCTTTTTTAACGCCGCTCATTCAGTCCCTATTTTTCATCTTTAACGCACGTTTGTCACCAGCAATGGTTTTGACATGTGCCCTTCCTTCATATCTTGTTTATTCCCCCCAAGAAATATATATATTACTATGAGAAAGCTCCATGCAAAATTGAAGTCTTTGGTCGGTGTGCTGATCAGCTCCTGCTTTAGATAAGTCGGCTCCCATCACCGCACTCACCTGTAGCCTGGAACCGTGCACCATCGTTGCTGGAACCGAGCTTGTGTCATCTCAATCCTCTGTGATATTTTGGTAAGTTGTTGGGCTGATTATGCGACTTATCCCGCGAGGCTGAAGCCACGTATTTTGCATCTGATGCGGATTCGGTACCACCAATTCTTCATTATCTTCCCCAGACCACCATTCTACCGGCACTCCCACTGCTGTGCTAGTGACCCAGAGGCCATATACCGCACAAACCTTCTCATTTACTTTCTTGCTCGTGCGAGAGTTCCCTACCTCTCGTCGGACCTGCTAACCGATTATTACTAGGGACATCAGGTCTCCGGGCCAGCCCCGGCTTCAATATGTCGAGAGTCATAACGACGATATAACTGAGGTACTTAATTTGTTCCCTCCTCTTCCATTGCAAACCCCAACTTTCTTCCGTTTCCCTTGTTCATCTTGGTTGCGGACTTTGTGGTTGGGCCACACAGCCCTCCAGGAGATGTATTTCTAGTGCTGGCTCAATCTCCCTTTGGTCAACCACTAAACTATTCGTAGTTGCAATTCCACCCGACCCGGCGCAATGTCCTTTTATCTGGAAGCACTGATGGGCTCGTTAACATCTACGACACCACGATTTCAGACGAAGACGAGGCTCTTCTACAGGTTTTTAACCATGGATCCATTCACAGAGCTGGATTCTTCGGGGAACACGCAATCTACGCCCTAAGCCATGACGAGGTTTTTTCGGTCCACCCTCTTAACAACCCCGACGAGAACGCCGTGGAGCCCGCACCTATCCAGTTCGGTGATCTTCGTCCTGTACTACAAAATGATTATGTAGCGCAAGTCCTCGATGGGCGTGGGGGCATGTTTGTAGTGTCTGGGAAAACAAGGTTTGAATACTTTCTTTTTGTCGTATGGTTTTTGCGGGGTATACATAGTCTCTTACATTGCTCGCCTGAGCAAGTGAACAACGACTCGATTTCACACCTTTAGTATGCTCGCCCAAATTTGACTTCGACCTGGCCAATACGTGGAGACTTCCGGGTGCCCACGGCGAAGAACTCGTTCGATCCGTATTTTTGGATAATAATGTAAGTACCGTAAAAAGAAGCAGATCTCATTTCTGCTGCAGCTCCTCTCCCAAATCTCTCAAACTATACTCTGGCTCACACGACCCAAAACGACTGTATAGTCGAAATCAATTTTTACATGTGGAGAGGACGGGCATGTACGTTCATGGAAGCTTGACGAAGGAGATCAACAACAAGGTGAAGATTTCCCATCTAAGCCGTTCACCAAGCGTACTGCCCCAGAGAATGTCCTGCGAACGAAAGAGCATCCATCGAAAGATGGGGGCCATCGGGAGAAACGACATAAACACCGCGGATTCAAACCATATTGATTCACCCAGAATGCCTCCTCTGCGCACATCCTACCCTACTAGTGTTACTCCCTTCGGCTCATGACATCCATACCTACTACTACCCTTTGCTCGATGTGAAAGTTTTTCCCGTGCAAAACTCGACTGTCTGCACAGCCAATAAAAACGTGGCATGTGCCGTTCCATTAGTTGCTCATTTTCTCGTCAGCCGCCTTAAACAAGGGAAAGAAAGTTAGAGTTTATTTCTTCTTCCTTTCTTTTCTTTTTTCATCCTTTCATCTTTCTGCAGAATCCAAACGATAAGTCAACGATGGCCAACCACATTATGACATCCGGTTCAAATTCAATCCCACAGGGCTGTTTAACTGACAATAAGAACAATAATCACAATAAGTATCCCACACATTAAAACAAACCTTCTTCTCTTCTTCTTCTTTTTTTTTCTTTTTTTTTTCAACTTTTCCAATTTTATTTTCTGCACTCCATTCTTTCTCCATCCCATCGCGTTCACATCATCAAATCGTGCTCACCTTTCCCGCAGCTTCTGGCCCCCAACTCGAAAACTAACCCCACCCCGGTCCCGTTCTAACCAACCCAAGCCCAAACCCAAAAAGAACCCTGGGCAAAGTTATACGAGACTGCTTCCGCGTACTAGTGTCTAGTGCCCGCCAACCGACATCTTCAAATTACTACCTTACGCATGGACGGGACCCGAGGAAGTTAATCATGTAGTCCCAGGCCCAGTACAAACCGGGAGTTAGGTGTGGGCTAACCATTCTTGATGTATGCAAGTTGCAGTACCTTGGCCCCCTCCCTGCCCATGTGAGCTAATCGTCCATCGCATATTTTCTCGTATCATGTCCGCATTAGGATTTAATATATAGCTCAATGCCGATGTTTAATTCGCTCCCGCCGGTCATGATGGTAGTTAAGGGGGTGTGCCAATAAACAAAATGAAAAAGCCCAAACGTTTTCAAACAGACGAAGAGGGAACTATCTATCATTCAACCTAATCTCTCGATGCTTTCGTGTTTCAGAAGAACTATGGTTCCCTACCTACTCACAGGGACAGGACAGATAGCCAGCGTGGCAATTCATTAATACAGTACATTACTAATTACGCGCGGTTCCTACTCTCTGCCATGCCATCCTCATTACAGAGTAGTTAACCTACCAATAGGCTGTATTTAACTGCGCGGGTCTAGCTATGCCATGAAGAATTTATCCATTCCCTTGAAAGGCGATTCGCTCACCCTTCACCGGGCATAACAGATGAATGGGATGCAAAACACAATTGAGGCTCATAAGTTGCCTGAGCGCCCAATGCACTTAAGACGTTGGTTTCTTTAGCAAAGGTAGTTAACTAGTTAACTTCAGAACGAACGATGCGAACATCAACGGATGTGAAAGCAACCGTGGAAGATCTCCCACACCTCTGCCTCCTTGGTTCATCATTTTGTTGATATGCTGTTTTGTCATGAAGTCTTTATACGATTTATGGCCTCCAGTTGTCACTGCGCCGTATCCGACCAGTTGTTTTTCACGCCTAATTTCGCCAGCCTATGGAAGCAATATCCATCCCCACCACTCATCGTAGAACGGACGCTACCAATTCCCCACGCATCCCCCAAACATGTGGTCCGGTTGAACAAGCCTGGCCGTTATCGCCCTGGCGGAGTATCACCCCATATCCATCGGCGACTGTCTCAGTGGTCGTTACCGATGTGTTTCACCAGCGCGGCTTTGGCACGTACTCCACAACCTGGCTGGCAAGAGATATGAACGTGGACAAGTACTGTACAAGTACAAGTACGGGGCTATAAAAATTGCCATTGCCGCCACAGATATGCCGGGGACTAAAATCCTCGACACCCTAGCACTCTCATCAGAACCAAGCGACGGGGCCGGACAGTCTAGAGAGGCTCTGATGCCTCGAGTGCTAGATACGTTTGCCCATGACGGGCCTCATGGAAGGCACCGTTGCCTTTGTTACAGAGCCGAGAATGATGACCCTGGCTGAGACGAAAGATGCATCATATACGAGGCTTTTCAGGACGTCTGTGGCTAGGGTCATTGCGGCCCAAGTCATACAAGCTATCGCTTTCCTACATCGCCGAGGGGTGGTCCATGCCGGTATGTATATTAAATTATGTGGAATATTTTATCTCGCAGGCTTTTATATAGGTGTTCCTCCCTTATTATTAACGGGGTTTTTAGGGAACATAAATAATGTTTCACTTGCCGAAAAGCATAGACGAGCGTTTCCCCAGAGGAATTATACCGAAAATACGACCAGCCAAATGTCGAACCATTCGTGCGCCTTGGTGGCAAGCCCCTCTCCGAAATGGAGTTCCTACTCACGGTGTTGTACCTACCCATTTTGGTTAGGGAAAGAAAGCGAGCTTGTCGCCCACCCTCTTTGAGGCTAGGATTTTCGTCACTGACTTTGGGGGAGTCGTTTCTGCCGTCTACTAATAATACTCAGCGCCACTATTCCAATGCCCCCGGTATCCTTGGCCCCCTCCGGTGACCTATTTTCATGGACCCCTGTCATTCCCCGCTGACATCTGGACTCTCGCGTGTGCTCTCTGGGATATCATTGGACAGAGGCCACCGTTTGAGGGTTTCAGTCCGTCCGACGACTGGATGATAAAAGCGCAACGTGGATGCACTGACTGGGCAAGCTACCGTGCGACTAGTGGCAGGAATGGGATGCAGGGCAAAGATGGTTTGCGGAAGAGACTAAGTAAGAGAGAGTCTGCGGGGGCAGAGGCAGACCGTTGGTTTATCGCTTCGTTGATTCCATACATGATGAACCCACGGGGTGAAAGTGCAATGGAGAGCGTGGGAGAAGCCGGGAAGAGCGCCCTGCTTGCTATGTTCAGGGGCATGTTGGCTTGTAGGCCGAGTGAGAGACTCGCTGCGATGGAAATCGTTGGGTCTGAGTGGATGCGGAGATGGGCTTTGAGCCGGTGCTTGGAAATGTAGCTGGATAGAGATGTGATGGGTTTAGGGGGGAGAAAGGGTTCAGAGGATCGCGAGACTATTTACTCCGTACTACGAAGGATGGACGACTTGGCCGATCGCGATCACCCCGATCACCCACTCACGCACGGTCATCTGCTCGGTAGGTAGGTATACAGCTCGACCAAGTTCCCAAGTTCCCCTGCCCTTATCCATTTCATTTATCCTGCTGCGCGTGCGCCACATTTTAATTATTTATAGTCCGTTCCCGAGTACATGCCTGCGGATGTAAATGATGAGGATGGGGATGAGGTATAGGAGTAAGCGTATGGTTTTGAAAACTATATTCACAGCTCATGGTTAACATGGTTTCATCGGCTATCGCAGCTGTATATCTTCCTCTAGCAATAAAACAACCATCTCATCATCCTCATCATCATAATAATAACAATCATCACGACAATAACAAATAAACACACTATTTAACCCCTCCCTCCCCCACTGCCCCAGGTACCACCACCCCCCCCCCCCTCCCTTCCTTTACAACTTCGTCTTCTTAATATACATCGACTGCGCATTACAGTAGCTCTTCAAGCCACCAACACCACCCTCATACCCGATACCGCTCTCCTTGTGGCCTCCAAATGTCGCGCCAGGGCTGGCCTCCATGTGCGTGTTGATCCATACCATGCCCGCTTCGATCTGTTCACCGATACGGCGTGCCTGGACCAGGTCGTTGGACCAGATGGTGGAGCCCAGGCCCATCTTGGTGTCGTTGGCGGCTTCGATCACCGCTGCTTCATCTTTCCAGGGAATGAGGGGCACGATTGGGCCTAGAGTGGGATGGGGTGTTAATTCCGTGTTTGTATTCAAGGGAAAGTTGCGGGGGTTAACCAGAAACACAGAAATGAGCAGCAAACACAACGAGGACATGAAGAAAAGGAGTAGAAGGTTTTGTAAAGGGACCTTTCCGAACTGGGCATTGCTGTTATATTGCAGAACATAAACTCACCGAATGGCTCTTCAGTAACAATCCTCGACTCAGCAGGTGGCGCGTCGATGATAGTGGGCTGGATGAAGTACCCAGGCTTCCGGATCTCGGCGTTTCCGCCCGTCACAACGTTCAATTTTTCCTTTTCAATCTCGGCGAAGAATCCTTTGACTTTCTCGTACTGCATGGAATTCTGGATGGGGCCGATCATCACACCTTCCTCGTTACCCTCGCCTACAACGAGCTTCGCAGTAGCGGCACCGATTGCTGCACGGAATTTCTCATAAATGGACTCGTGGACGAAAATTCGTTTGGCTGCGATGCAAACCTAGAGAAACCATGTCATCAGTTCGCTTACCAGCGTTCTTCACAATTTGCAGATTGGGTAAATTTTAATTGATGGCAAGATTGGCGAGTCCAGGAGAGGTATGTACAGTACATACCTGGCCTGAATTAAAGAATGCAGCCATTGCGACCTATGAGTTACCAGTTAGTTAACAGGCTGTTCAGCGGGGATATGACAAGTAAAATACAAACCTTCGCAGCCACGACTTCAATATCGATATCAGCGCAGACAATTGCAGGGTCATTCCCGCCTCTGTGATGGTAGGAATAGTTTTAGCTTCAGACAGATCCTTTCAAAACCACAAAGGCTGCCATATATGAACCGCGTTAAAACATACAGTTCAAGAGTAATCCGCTTCAATGTCTTGCTCGCACTTTCCATGACCTTCTTCCCTGTCGCGGATGAACCGGTGAAACTAATCTTTGCTGGTCCAGGGTGGGCGGTCAACCAGGGCCCCAGGTTATCATCACCGCTCAGCACCTGGAGGACACCAGGAGGGAAGCACTTCTGGCCGATTTCGACGACCTTCAGCGCGCAATAGGGGGTGAATGGCGATGGCTTAACAATGATGGTATTCCCAGTAATGAGGGCGGGTCCAATTTTCATCATGCAGAGCAAGACCGGGAAGTTCCATGGGACAATGCCAACCACTACACCTAACGGAGTGTAGCGGACAGTCACCTGTCTGTCGTTGCTGTCTTCGATAATTTCATCCTTCAGCTCCAAGGTGGTGGTGCCTCTCAAACTGCCGATTCCACCCTGAATATCCATGGCAGCAAATGGGGCCTATTAAGATAATAAAAGATAAAAATAATTAACTCCCCATTTACATACATACATCCTCAGTTTGGTATTTAAAATATATATATATATATATATATATATTAGGGAAAAGGGTAGTAGTATTACCGGCTTCCCCTGCTCTTTCACAAGAAGTTTGGTGAGTTCTTCGGAATGTTCAGCAACGGCATCTGCAAAAGCCAAGATAGCCTTTTTTCTTTCCTCGTATGGGGTTTTTGACCACGTCTTGAATGCAGCCATTCCGGCCTCGACAGCTTTGTCGACATCGGTGCGAGTGGCAACTGGCACTGCTGGGTTTGGTTCTCCAGTTGCTGGATTGATGCCATGGCGGGTTTCTGCAGTGGAGCATAATTCGCCCCCGATCACGTTGCGAAACGTGGTAAAGTCGATGCCACCCATATTAGCGGTATATGTATATATATATATATATTGAACGGTGTTTCTATTTGAAAAAGTAAATACTTGTCAGAATATTTGAGGGATGGAAATATGTGCCACAATGAGAACCTCAGGTCAGTTGGACAGAGGATGTGGGATAACGAAGCAGAATGCGGGGGGGAATTGGAGGAACGAAGCCTCGGATCATATTGGGAGCTGACACACTAACCAACCGAGGTTCGATATCAGGTTCGAAAAGAGACAGAGGACTGTCAGAAGGAATGTTGTAATTCAGCCCTTGGATGAGTGCGATGAGGAGGAGGGAGAGGAGGTTGGAAGAGGAGAGGAGGGGATAGGAGGGGTTGATGCCACGCATTATATTGCATTATTATTATTAAGGCCAAATGGATGGGATGCCTGAACATGTAGAGAATGAATGGCCAGCACAGCACAGCACAGCACAGCTCTGCACTCCAACTGCCCAGGAGTCAAAGGAGTCAAGGATGGCAGGGAAAATCCACAATTTCGCTGTTTGAAGGCGGGGATATTTCATGAACCCCTCAGATGCCTCGAGGATTTAAGCCGGGGATAAGGATGTATTCTCACACTATCCCCCTCTCAACCTCAAATGGCCATGGATTTTCAGTGTTATGTAGGCAATAATGGGGTAACTATAAATCTCGTTGATTCATAACTAACTAGTTATTTATTAGTTAGTTAGTTACCCGTGAATCGCCTATCCACAAGATTTATAAGTTAAAGGTTAGTTAAGTTAGTTAACTACGTTATGTAGCCGGGCGCTGGGCCAATCAGATATTTATTTAATCATCGTCTAGGATATTCATATAACAAAAACATCAACCGCAGCCGACTCCCGAACGCTATACCGAGGCAGGCAGCTATGGAGGGGGATATGGCTCGGGGTGTACAGAGTACATTCTATATAGCTAAGTTAGTTGATGTGTTCCCCTGAAATCTCAATTCCTTCGGCTTCCGCGAAATTCTCTATGTTATCTACAACTTGCTACTGACCTGATAGTATAGTATGGTCAAGCTGCATTGGATATGAAAGGGGTAAGTTAGATGAGGACATTACCTAGGTATTTCTGAAGTAATAACATGGTTTTCCACACATACATACTGATGGCAGGAATTGTTCTCCGGATAATCCATTTGATAGTGAAATCTGATCAGTGCAAAGACTGCGAAAGGTCGAGGTCTCGTGGTATATCCTACCACAATACCATCATTCTGCTTCATCTCGACTCTCATGGGCATATGAGTGATGCGGAATGCGGACTCTTTGATGCATGGATAGGCTGATCGTAGGTTGCCATAGAAGTCTTTCCTACAACCTGCAAAACAGAAGCGGTGGTAACTAGTTATTTAGTTAACTAAATAGTTGTCTGAAAACCACTTGGAGCCAGCCGCAGACTTGTAATATTTATCACCAGATGTGCAACATGGAACAGGCATAGACTACGCAGCGTATGCATACACACCCCCCCACAAGGTACATACTGTAGGCTATCATCCAACCAGGATAACTACTTTATCATGGTTATAACCAGTGACAATGTCTCCAGTGTACCCTCCTCCTCCTGCCTACGCGGCGCGCGGGAGTCCAGCAAGGTTGTCCCCAAGGAATTCGGAGTCTTCATCAGGTTCGACAGCTCGGTACATGTACTGTTTACTGATATATCCTGGTCAATAATCATCAAACGCCTGTTCGCCTCTCGAGCGTGAAGACACAAAGAGTGTTCATAGCACCAACGCACCGTGGGAAGCTCAACTAAATAGGCGTTGAGAGTAGCTGATTTGCAAAAAAGGAAAATGGTGCTGTGGGTTGGACGGTAGTATGAGACTTCTCTCCCGCTTCACCATTGTCAGCTCTAACTACATCATGCCGGAATCCACAGAAAGGTAGGCAAATGGAGTTAGAGTATTATGTTACTGGCTGTAGTCCTAACTATAGCCTAAGCGCCGATCAAGTGCAACCAACTGCGGAAACTGGCTTTTGCTTCAAGCCAAATTTACGAGTCTACATTGTCAAAGCCCATACAAATGGAGGGATGTTTGCTCAATGATGAGAAATCGCAACAAGAGCCCAAATGCTGCAGATACTTACTTCATTTCGCGCCTTGGTTGGCTGAACAACCCTGATGACTGATAAATGGGCTGCATGCGATCTTCTACCCTCAAATTTGGAAAACTAGTAGCAAATCTGCAAATCCTAGCCTTACCAGAAAGCCCTGCCCTGTCAGAAAGCTAAATCGAACAATAGCTTTATGTGTCTGCGATTCACAGGGCCATATTCTGGCCGACCTGTCTGAATATGGGGCTCTGATCCGTAAGTGGCACTGGTGGCGGCCTGCAGGAGCTCTAGATGATGCCCGCGTTTGCTTGACGTGTGTGATACCACCTATATGAATCAGGCCCCTCCCCACGAGAGAAGCCCCGGGGAAACCATTTCTTCAAAACCTCTTTTTGATTTTTTACTAAGATTTAAGTTATCTGGAAGGGACATTGAGATTTGTACTTATTTGCTCAGGGCTACCTCAAAAATGGGATCCGTGAAGGTTGAAACACGCACTCTCTCGAGTGACGTTGATCTTCTCAAGGACAACAATCCGAACCAGTTATTCTGCATCCATCCAGTGTCCCCTGACATCTCCCAAGGATGGCGCAGGATTACAATGAAAGACTTGTCTTTTGCAACGGATCTCCTAGCACATTGGATTGAAGCAAATGTGGCTGCTCGCTCAAATCACGAAACGCTGGCTTATATGGGAGCGAACGACATACGCTACGCGGCTTTTATCCTTGCTTGCAGCAAGGTCGGGCATGTTGTAAGCAGGCTGTTTCTCAAAATCTTTGCATGTTGATAGAAAAGAACGCTAACAAGTTGGGACCGATATTTTAGCCGTTACTCATCTCACCCCGAAATTCGGTGGAGGCGTCACGCCATCTTCTCGAAGAGACAGGATGTTCGAAGTTCGTCTACAGTGTAGAGCGCGAGAGGCAAGTAAATGAACTGCGGAGCGCAGATCCCAGCATCCAGGTGTGGACCGTTCCAGACCTTTGGGACGTTTTCACAAACAGTGAAGTCGTGCCGTATGAAGCAGTGGGGAAGCAGCACAGAGGTCCGGAGGATGAGGTTGCCGCTATTATTCATAGTTCTGGGACTACAGGTACGTTAGAATAATTGCTGAACTCATCTGGTTGGTGATTGCATACCTCCTTTTCCCACGCTAACAACATATAGGTATGCCAAAGCCAGTTCCACTTACGCATGGATACATCGCTGCACAGAAGAGGATCCAAGCTCTGCCAGTGCCCCCCGGGCGAGTTGCCAGCGTTTACAGTGCTTGCGAACAAGGAAAACTGGCTTTCGTAATGAGCCCATTTTTTCACTTCATGGGCTTGCTTACATTGATTACTTCAATTACTGGCGGGACGCCGTTTGCACTAAGCCCGGAAAAGCCGCTGACGGCCGAGTTGCTGGACGCAGTGGTGACTGAGACAGGAGCCACTTCAACGAGTCTTCCACCGTCAGCCATAGAAGATCTTTATGCCTCCCAGCTAGGTCGAGAAACTTTAGCGAAGTTTCATTACATCGCCTACGGAGGAGCACCTCTGTCACCCGACACTGGGGATAAGCTGTGTAAATTAACACACGTGCAGACAGTGCTCGGGTCGAGCGAATGTGGCTTGATTGCAGCTCTGAAGGCGGAAGATCGCGAAGATTGGGGATATTTTGAATGGAATCCTTTTTACGCAGTTGACATGCGGGCCCAGGGGGATGGCACTTTCGAGCTAGTTATCCCTCGACAAGAAAATCGGTACGTCCACGGCGTCTTTCACACGTATCCAGATCTCCAGGAATATCGCACCGGCGACCTTTTTATCCCCCATACACAGAAACCAGGGCTTTGGAGATATATTGGTCGTGGAGACGATGTTATTGTTCTCAGTAACGGGGAGAAATTCAACCCGACATCAATGGAACTAGTTATCCAGGGACATCCGCTGGTTTCAAAAGCCATGGTGATGGGCCAAGGGCGGTTCCAGGCAGCTCTCCTCTGTGAGCTAGATTGGGACAATTGGACAGGAGATGAAATCGCGTTCATCGAGGAAATCTGGCCAACTGTGCAGAGGGCGAACGAGGGTGCGCCAGGACATGGTCGCCTGATGAAGTCAAAAATCGGCATCTCGTCGCCTTCAAAGCCTTTTAAAACCACACCGAAAGGGAGTGTTCAACGGCGGATGGTCATTGCAGACTACAGCAATGAAATTGAAACGCTGTATTCCAAGTCCGACAACGAAGCTATTATTACTATCTCCAAAGATGCAACTGCAAAGGAGGTAGCTGTGCAAGTGAGAGCTGTGGTTTCAAGCCTGCTTCCATCGCAGGAGATTGGTGACAATAGCGACATATTTTCTTTGGGCATTGATTCCCTCCAATCACTGCAGCTTGGGCAGGCTTTAGATAGTGCAGTCCGAGCCATTTGCCCACAGTTGCGCAAGGACGCTTTCTCCAGCAGGCAAATATATTCTCACCCTTCTGTGTTTGCCCTTTCACAATACATGTACGACCTCATTCACGGGACGGCCATGGTAGATGAAGCCGGGACCGGAGTGGAGGATGACAACGCACGATCCGCTAGGCTTAGGGCACTGGTAGAGAAATACACGACCGATTTAGTCGAAAAGCATTCGGTCATTCTTACGGGCTCGACTGGATCTCTCGGTTGCTACTTACTCCACGAACTTCTTCTCGATCCTGCGGTTGCCAAGGTATACTGTTTGAACCGTTCGGAGGACGCAGCAGGTAGGCAGATCAAGAGTTTCCAAGAGAAAGGCCTGTCAACTTTTAAAGCTTTCGCCTCTAGAGTTGAATTTCTCCACGCAAAGTTTGGAGACGAACGACTTGGGCTTGCCACTGATGCCTATGACCGGGTGCTTGAATCCGTCGATACTATAATTCACAATGCTTGGAAGGTAAATTTCAACCACCAAGTGGAAGCATTCGAACAACCGCATATCGAAGGAGTTCGCCGGCTTGTCGACTTTAGCATTGCTAGCACTCATCGTGCCCATATTCACTTCATATCCTCAATTTCGACTATTGAAGGGTGGGACACCACAAAACGCGGCATGCTTGTTCCGGAAGAGATATATGAAGACGCCGACGTCGTGATGCGCACCGGATATGGGGAATCTAAACATGTAGGAGAGCGGATTTGCGCTTTCGCGTCTTCCTATTGCGGCGTCCCAACCACCATTCATCGGGTTGGTCAAATCGGAGGTCCAACAACAGAAAAAGGAGTGTGGAACAAGCAAGAATGGTTTCCATCTTTGGTTGCAACGTCGAAAACTATAAAACAGCTTCCGTTATCCCTTGGAACCATAGCAGTGGACTGGATTCCAGTGGTGTGTTTCCTAAAACCCCCATCCTGCCCGTACCAGGTGCTCACTTCCATTGATAAACCTGCTGAACCTTTTTTTTTTCGCATATAGGACACAATCTCGCGGGTAATCCTCGATATTCTCCGATCAAGGAGAAAAACTGAAGAGGAAGTCCGTTGCGCGGCCTTCCATCTCGTCAACCCAAGTCCCGCCCCCTGGGATTCGCTAATACCCGCTATCAAGAAACACTTCCCCGTCGAAATCGTTGACCCGCAGAAGTGGATCGCTAGCTTAGAAGCTATCGCGAACCCAACCCAGGCCGATCTGCAGGATAAGCCTGCATTGAAGATTCTTGACTTCTTTCGTGGTGCTTTTATTGGGCAAGTTGAAGGCTCAGGAAAGCCTCCGGTGTTGGACACTCAAAGAACACAGGAGGCAAGCGTCACCATGCAACGGCTTAAGCCAATTGACCAAGACATCTTGAATACTTGGATGTTGCAATGGCAGTTCTAAATGAGTTGCAAAAACTGGAAAGGTTGATTCCACGAATGTCTAGAAGCCATCATTTGTACCGTCAAGTCTGTAACTTTCGTAAATTTTGATGGAGTGAATGCCGGAACGATAACCTCCTTTTTAACTAGCACTTGGAGATATTATATCAAATAAGGTACGGTATATATAGGATGAATTGAGAATACTTTCTTTGACTTTGGGTGAGCTTCAAGCGGGTTTACCAGCCCTAGTTTTGCCTCATAACCTACTTACCTCCATCGAAAGAGAACCTCATAGTCTGTAAAGCTCATGATCCTTTTCGAATTGACTGGAATGATCAGCGTCAGTCCAGTGCCTCACCGGGTTAGATAACGAAACGCATCGGTACATGGAGGCAGTGTATTTCTCTTCTCACCGAGTCGCGCGTAGTCTCTTAAAACTGTGAATCAGTGGCTTTCAAAAACCGAGTCTATAAGTAGATAAAGCAATACTGCTAGACTCTGAACAATTTGTGACGCCTCTATAAGCTGCTTTGTCGGTGGTAATAGATCGTAGTTCTGGAAGTTTCAGAAAGAGAGTTGGAGCTGGACGAGTCAGCCAATCACAGCCCGCGCCAGCGTCGCAGCAGCCAACCGCAATAAATAGTTAAATATGTGGCCAGAAATAATATAAAAAAGCAAGCTATCTCCGTCGACTATCAGAACGTCCATATAGCAACTTCGGAATGAAATCTCGACTTCACATGGCCATAGTTGATGTTATTTCATTAGCGGTATGAGTCACAATGATACTCATTCTTAAAACCACATTTTCATGACTGCAGCCATGATGAAGCGACCCTGGAGGTGGCATCTACTGCCAATAGCTCTGTGTTAGTTCGCCCTGGATATTTCCCCTTCGCCACGTATACTTTTGTCGCAGATTGTATTATGATCCTGACAATGTCTTCTTAGTATTGATACAGGTACTGGCTATACAAGCTCAAGATAAACATGAAGGAACCGGAGCGACTACAGATATTAGTAGCGCTCCTCCCGCGTCCGAAACCACACTTCCACACGGGCTTGGGCTAAGTCCTGAACGGAAAAAGCAAGATGCGGAGGCCCAGGGTGAGTCTACATTTGCGGAGAAAGTCTGGAGAACGTGAGAGACGCTGGACAAATTTAATGACATATCTCCTTTGTGTTTTATTTTAGGCCAGCCAGCTGTTGAAGCAGCACGAGACATTCTTCGCTCTCTGAAAGTGCCAGTCAAAAAGCGTGACCGGCCGTCAGGGTTCCTTGGACATGCAATATACTATGCGAAAGAGGCCTTTTATATATTATTCATGAACAGTCCACCCATAGACAACAACGCACAACCCGCAGGAGAGAAGAATAAACTATCCCCTCAGCTCAAGCAGGTGGTATCGCTACTTCAAGAAGCCGCGGCCCAAAACAACCCAGACGCAATATTTCTCCTAGCGGAAATGAACTTCTACGGCAATTTTACGCATCCACGAAATTATCCCCGGGCTTTTGAGCTTTATAAATCACTTGCGACGCTGGAAGGGAACAGTACCGCGCAGTACATGGTTGGGTTTATGTATGCGACTGGGATAGGAGGCGCGGTTGAACGGAATCAGGGAAAAGCCTTGTTATATCATACGTTTGCAGCTATGGGAGGGAATATAAGATCTCAAATGACTGTTGCGTTTCGCCGATATCTTGGTATCGGAACACCCCGCAATTGCGACCAAGCAGCGTATTACTACAAACAGGTAGCGGACCAAGCAATGGCTTACTATAGGTCCGGTCCACCCGGTGGTCAAATCCTGGCTAGGGAGTCATATCGCTGGTCTGATGATGAAGGTGGTGTGTACGGTGAAGGCGCAAGCGTCTCGAGCTCTGGTCCGAATGCCAATAGGGATGGCCACCATTCCAATTCTGATTCGAGCCTTGAAGATGTGTTGGAATATTTGGATCTCTTATCGAAAAAGGGTGATGTGAAAGCGACGTTCACCTTGGGGAAGATGCATTACGATGGTTCAAGAAACATGAAGAAAAACATGAGAAAAGCGTTGAGATACTTTGGTTTGGTAGTGAAGAAATTCTGGACTAACGACGGAAAGATTATCTCGAATCATCCCGTAGGGATTGAGAAGACCGCTGCAAAAGCGGCCGCGCATATTGGGCTTATGTTCTTGCGTGGGGAGGGGGTTGATCAGAATTTTGCGAAGGCAATGACTTGGTTCCAGCGGGGAACGGCGCTTGGGGATCCGATGTGCCAGCATTACATTGGCTTAATGTATCTGAATGGGTATGGCGTACCTCATGACGTTATCAAAGCTGCATCTTACTTCAAGGCTGCAGCGGAACAAGACTTTCCGGCTTCTGAAACCAGGCTCGGAGCCTTATTCCTGGACCAAGGCGATGTAGCCACAGCAACTCGATACTTTGAATTGGCCGCGCGATATCGTTGGATCGAAGCGTTCTACTATCTTGCTGAAATTGCTGAGCAAGGGGTAGGAAAAGAGCGTCACTGTGGTATGGCGACAGCGTACTACAAAATGGTGGCAGAAGAGGCAGAGGTTATACATTCCTCGTTCCACGAAGCTAATACGGCATATGAAAATGGTGATAAGGAAACCGCACTAGTTGCTTCAATGATGGCAGCAGAACAAGGCTACGAGAGCGCCCAGACGAACGTGGCCTACTTGCTAGATGAGCAGCGGTCGGTTCTCCCCCTTGATTCTATTCTGCCCCGGCCCCGGAATCGCCGGCCAGCTTTACTCCGAAATGCTGCTTTAGCGCTTATATACTGGACTCGTTCCGCAAGGCAATCGAACATCGATTCCCTTGTGAAAATGGGAGATTACTATTTCCACGGCTATGGCACACCACCCGACCTTGAAAAAGCCTTCACATGCTATCATTCAGCTGCGGAGGGCTATCACAGTGCCCAGGCGTTTTGGAATCTGGGTTGGATGCATGAAAACGGTTATGCCACTGAGCAGGATTTCCATATGGCAAAGAGATTCTACGATCTAGCCCTTGAAACGAATGATGAAGCTTATCTTCCCGTCAAGCTTAGCCTAATAAAGCTACGGATAAGGAGTTTCTGGAATCGGATTACCCATGGAAAGGCTAATCCTATCCGATCAGAACCAGGTGAGTTGTAGTCTACCGCTTTCCATCCGCTACTTATCGTACAAGGCAAAACCTTAGGCAAATTGTCTTGCCATACTCAAACTGCCACCCATGTGTGTCTCTGTCGCCGTTTCACACTAACAAAACTATTTTCACCATTTAGACGCAAATCGACACCGATCACTGAAGGAATGGATTAAAGCATTCAACACGTATAATGAAGAGGACGATGAAGTTCTCAACCAGCACAAATCGAAACACCGATCCGATCCCGATGCGCCGGATAACATACTATCCGAAGACGGCGCCGCCACTGATAACAGGGGAGAGACCGCCAGACGTAACCATGACAGTACCTACTACGACGAGCTTGATATGGATATCGATGATGACATTTTGGATAGCCTTATCATCCTCGCGCTGGCAGCTACTTTGATGGTTCTTGTGTACGTGCGACAGCGACGGGGGCTACGAGGCCCCGGTCAGGTAGATGGAAATGCTGCAGGTGGTGGGGCTGGAGCCGGAAATGGCGCAGGGCAGCCCGCTAATAATCCCGCAGGTCCTGGTGGCGCTGCTGCTGGGGCGCAGAGGGAGGAGGATAGAGGACTTTTCCCGCCCCCCGGCGATCCTGATTTCGCGGCTTGGGTTGCTGGCGGAGTTGGTCATTAGACTGAAGTCAAACGAAACACCCTGTGGTCCTTTGTATTTAAAATTGATTTATATAAATTCGTCATTATCATCACAAATATTATTGTTAAGTTATGAACAAGTGGAACATTTATTGCCTTAATCTGAGACGTCCGTAGATATTTGTCGATGATTCCTTATGGGAAGAACGTAGGGTTAATTTACGGTGATTACACCGTGGATCCACCATTCCACCCGTGTCACGTGTCGCCGATCGTAACACATGTTCCACCATTATATTCAGTGACATGTCACTGAATATTAAACATCAAGATGGCATTGAAACAGCACAGGACTTCTTGACATCATCAGGGGACAGCTCAGTCATCATGTAATCAGTGAATGCCATCATTAAGATACTACTGAGATACTATAAGCCACAATATACTGTTCTGTCAATAAAATCAATACTTGTATACTATTCAGCTAGACTAGTTAACTACTTCATATAAATCAAATTACTATCTAAAGAAACAAGATATTCCAAGTGTAATATAAATATCTTATTATCTGAGATTCATATATTAAATAATCATCATTTTTATCAGTATTCAGTATTAAAATATTATATAATACTGTCTTTTAAATCACTGAAAGTCTGATAATAGTGTAACTATCAGAATTCTCTTATAAAATCAGCAGATTCAGTAGATGATTCTGTTTAATATAATATAGAGAAGTAAGTGTAAAGAAAATCTACTTAATCTCTCTTATTTTATAAATAAAGATAATTATAATCTGATCAAGATCAGTCTTTTAATATTGAAGAATATCTCTCTTTATAAGAGAGATTCAGTGAATATACTCTCTGATTTATATATTAATAAGTTAATAACTGATTAATTGATTAGTTGAAGAGATATACTGAACTGAGAATATTAACTTATTATAGAAAAGAATCAGATGATAATCTAGTTTCAAAACTGAGAGCTTATTTCAATCAGTATTATAGAATTCTTACAGATTATTAAGAAATAAATAAAGTAATTCAAGCTTAAAGAGATTTATAAATTATATATTAACTTTCTCTGATATCTTACTTAATAATAGATAATTAAAAATCTTTGAAGTAATATAATCTTTTATTAACATTAATTTAATAGAGTAGTTCAGTGAATTATCATTCTTATCTTCAGCTTCTTCATTTATTCTCAGTAAATTATTAAAAAGTATTAAATAATATATATATAAATTCTGAATCTTCTATGTCAGACACATATCAGAGCTGTTAAAGAAATCTCTTAATACTAGTTATAAGATTCACTGAAAACTCTTCTGTAAGAGTAGTGTCTTTTTTATATCTTAATAATTTATTTATTACACTAGATTCTTATAGTCTTAATACTTATTCTCTTCTATCAGAACATTGTAATTATTAGATATAGTGTATTCTTTAATCAGCTTAATATAGTGTAAGTTAATATATATATTCAGCTGACTCTTTATATATTATATAAGCTTTGCTTTTTTAATATAATCACTGCTGCTGATACATGTAGTAACTGTGTTCATAGTTGAAGCAGAGAATAATTGATGACTAACAACTGAATCAGCTTAGAATAATTTAAATATCACTGCTACTCTTATTACAGCTTCAATAAGAAACTGTAACTATTAACAGACTATAAGTATAATTTAATAGATTACTTCAGAATTATTTTCTCTCAGAGATTAAGACATTAATAGACTATTACTTCTTATAATAACTGCATATATCTGAATAATAAGATTAATAGATGATTGATTTTGACTTTGTGCTGAAAATGCTGTAGAAATAATCTGCTTAATCATCAGACTGAGTCATTTCTCTCTGAGCTTATATTATAAGATAAGTGTCACGCTCCTGACCGCGTCAAGACTCTGTTACGGTTTCACACAGCTCATTGCTTTCATGTGAATAATTTCATCTCATTTAAACTGGTTTTCAATTACTCTATAATATCATTCAGATGTATCATAGAAAGATCTGATTGATAAATATAAGAATCTCACTTTTATATGAGATCAGCAGATTACTCTTTCTTAATAATAAGGCACTGCTGAGATATCACTTCAGCTATTCTCACTCATGAAATGAGAGAAGAGTATTCACTCATTGTTTATATAGAATAGCTAGATACTGACTTCTTATTAAAAAAGTCAGTGATTTGTTTTACTTCTACTGAAATATATATAAGAGTTACTGTATATCTTATATAATCTTCTTAGTATACTAAGTATCATATCTGTGATATTCTTACAATAATCTTGTAGTCTACAAGCTTGCTATTCAAGCAAGATAGTTAAGCTCACTTATACAGCTTTTTAAATAACTACTTCTATATAATATCACTAACTAGTCACTGCTTCAGTTTCATCATATTACAATTTAAATCACTTAATCTGATTACACATTTGAATCAGTCAAGCTCTAACAGACTGATATGACTTTATACATCTATACTGAGATCAACTCAATCTCACTTTCTGAGAGAAACACTACATCATTTTCTAGAGTGTGTACATCTCTATCTCAGCAGAAATTTGAGATTTCTGAATCTGCTGTATATTTTAACATAAGTTCTTTAACTGCTCTGTCACTGCTGCAGCCTCTACACACCTACATCTATTATAGAGATAGAGAGATTAAGATCAGAGATTCACTGAGATATAAGAGAAACATCTTATCTGAATTTCACAGCTTTATCTATACTCTTGAATGAAAATTCTGTCTTAATCTGAGTTAGTATAATACTCATGAGATATAAGTAATATACATCATCAACCTTCTTAAAGGCATCTCTGCAACTACTTAAGTTATCAAGAAAAGAGAGCTTGAGTGTATCAATACTGCTATGACTTGAGAAGAATTCAAGAACTTTTTACTGAATTAAATTGAAGATTATCACAACTGCAGCTTCATAGCAGTGCAGTGATTCAACTCATTATATTAATGAGATAATGAGAATTCTTCTGATTTCAATACAAGATTTGAAGAATATTAAGAGAAATTGACTGATGATTTGAATTAATTAAAAATATAGCTTTATCTTATAAAGCTGACTTACAAGATGTGAATAATGATATTATAATATCAAAGTTTATTAATTAATTACACTGAGCTTGTCAATCTGACTTTCTGAATCTATTTAAATAATTAATTCTTTAAGAAAAAGATCAACAAGATCTCTTCTAAGTAATTAATAATAAGATTTAAACAGTGCTATGACAGCTTCAGTGTGAAGAAAGTAAAGAAGAATTCTAAGTATTCTGATTCTTCACTCACTGTAAAGAAATATTAAAAAAGATTTGATAAAGATCTCTATTTCAACTGCAGAGCTGATGATTACTATATCAGTGATTGTAAGAAGCTGAAGAAGAGAAGAAACTGAGAAGATATCTTCTCAAAGTTAACTTCTCTTCTAGTAAACATATTCACAGAAGATAAAGAAGAGAAAGATAAGAATTGATAATTCTCATATCTCTGAGTTTATATTATGATTACAATACATACCTCAAATGAGAAGATATCAGTGAGATGTCTACTCAACTTCAGAGTGAATGCTAACTTCATATTCTATTTCTTTTCTTTAATAAAGAGTTGAAAGAAGATAGATTTATCAGATCATGTGAAATTTACAGATGAAATGAAATGTCATCATTTTAGCATAATTCAAGCAAAGTGTGTGATCACAGACTCAGAAGAAATCTTTAAGAAGAGCAGTCTGCTTCTTCACATAGTTAATATCATAGATAAGAATGTCATTCTAGATCTCTTATAATTGAGAGAAAACAATTCTCTCATTGACTGAGTCACTCAGATGTGATGATATCATCTCACTGATGAAGAGACAGTGATAGAGAAATCTGAAGAGTTTCATTAGAAGAATCTTGAGAAAAAGATTGAGTCAATATACTGTATAGCAGATGATTGAGACTTGAGAATAGATGAAGAAGTCATCATTCTCACTGTAAGATTAGCAGCAGTATTCATCATTGAAGATGAATATACATGATATCTCTTTACAGATTTTAAGAATGTCTTTTCAGAAAGAGAAGCAGCAAAGTTTTCTGACATCAAGATATAATATAAGATTCATCTTGAAGACAGTGTAATAGTATTATACAGATCTCTTTATAACTTATCTGTAAAGAAGTTGAATATTCTGCATAAATATCTTGAAGAAGTGTAATCAAAGAACTGAATACATTTATTAAAGAGTTCAGCAGAGATGTCTATACTCTTTGTATCTAAGAAGAATAATAGACTACATCTATGCATAGACTACAGAAATCTTAATAAGATGACAGTTAAGAATTGCTATTCACTACTATTAATTGATGAGATGATTGATTGATTATCTGAAGCAAAGATGTTCTCAAAGATTGATATACAGAATATCTATCATAGAATCAGAGTTAATAAAGATAATGTTTGAAAAACAGTCTTTTGTATCAAGTACAGTAATTTTGAATATCTTATTTTATCTTTTAATCTCTGTAACACTTCAGCCATCTTTCAGATCTATATAAATGAGGCACTGCAGAGCCTTGTTAATATCTTCTGCATAGTATACCTGAATAACATTCTAATCTTCTCAAAAACAGAGAAAGAACACAATACTCATGTTCAAGAAGTGTTGAGTCACTTGAAATAGTATTAACTCTATACAAATACTGAAAAATACTCATTCTACATACAGAAGATTGATTTCTTAGATTATATTATTGAGATAAATAACATTTCAATGAACAGAAGCTGAGTCTTCATTATTAAGAACTGACTGATACTGTGAATGTACTGTGAGATGTAGATATTTCTAGAATTTGTGAATTTCTACAGATAATTCATCTATGCATATTCACAGATTACTGCTTCTCTTACAGATCTGTTGAAGAGAAGTGTGAAAGACAGAAAAACAGAATCATTTATTCTCACTCAAGATACTATACAGGTGTTTACAGAATTGAAACAAGCTTTCACAGATATTATAATGCTGAATCACTTTAACTCTGACTTACTCAGTCAGTGTGAGACTGATATATCTGAGAATGAGATCTGTGAAATCTTTTCACAGTTGATATCAGAGATCTTTCAACATTAAAAGAAT